GTTGTTGTTCGCTCTCAGCTCTGCGAGGAAGACCGGCGGCCGGCGGCAGAAACGAACAACAGGGAGTGAAGACAGCAGGGAAGACAAGGAACAGCCTGCGACCCGAGAGCGAAGCACGGTAGAAATATATGGTCCACGGCGACGGGCCTAAGCATTCTGAAACAACGGAGCTAGAAACGCCAAAGCATTGTCGCGTTGTTTTAAGCGTCTTTAGCTTGTCAAGGGCCCAACATGCAAAACGGTAAAGAAGACGCCCAGGGCGTTTTTGAGAAGAACCATGATGATGATTCTGAGGATGGTGGTGGTGATGCTGAGAATGATGATGATGACGATGATGATGATGATGATACTGATGATGATGATGATGACGATAAAGTTGAGAAGTAGGAGACGGCGGAGGAGAATAACGATGATGATGAGGAGGATGTGGTGAAGTATGATGAGGATGGTGATGGTGTTTGTGATGATGATGCTGCTGCTGATGATGAGTATGATAAGGAGGATGAGGATGAGGATGCGGATGATGGTCATTATGATGGTGGGGGACGTGCTTACGGTGGTGGTTGTGACGATGGCACTGATGCTGGTGATGATAGTTGTACTAGAGGTTGTGGTGATAGTGATGATGACGATGAGGACGATGGTGGCGCCGATGATGCTGATGCTGACGATGCTGTTTCTGATGACGGGCAGGTGTCGTAGGAGGAGGAGGAGGAGGAGGAGGAGGAGGAGGAGGAGAAGGTGGTGGTGGTGATGGTGAGTTATGATGATGGTGGTGGTGGCCATCATGCTGCGGCTGCTGCTGCTGCTGATGGTGATTCTGATCAGGATGATGCAGATGACGGTGACGACGATGATTGTGGTGGTGGTGATGCGGCTGCTGATGATGAGTTTAATGATTATGAATGTGGTGAGTCTGATGATGCTGATGATAATGATGACGATGTTGGTGATGGTGATGGTGAGGATGATGGTGATAATGGTGATGACGACGACAAGGAGGATGAGGAGGATGCTGATGACGATGATGCTGATGACGATGCAGATGATGCTGACGGAGAGAAATAAATGGTAGTAGGAGAAGGCGGACGAGGCGGAGGAGGAGGGGGAGGAGGAGGAAAGGTAGGAGGGGGATGAGGAGGAAGGAAAGGAGGACGAAGAGAATGTTCATGCGGGATGATAATGAGATTGGAGGAAGGGATGCGGAGGAGGTGGAGTACTACAAGGTGCAGGAGGAGGGAGGGATGACAAGGGGGAGGGGGACGAGGGAGAGGATAAACAGGGGCAGGAGAAGGAGAGAAGGGAGAACTTTGGGTGATTCGTCGTCCAGATTCCGCGACCTCTATGCGATGGTCGGCTTGTTCGTTCCATGGAGGCCCGAGCGGCGATTGGTTGACTGGGGCCGCATGAGGCGATCCGCTCGCGACTTCGGCCGAAGGCGAAGGACTGGAGTGGATCAGCCGCTCCTCGTTTCCCCCTCTCTTCTCCTCCTGCTCCTCGTTGCTCATCCCCCCCCACTCCTTCCTCCCCGCCTCATCACTGCCTCCTTGCCTTCCCCTCACTTCTCTTCTCGTGGTCCCTCCCTTCCTTCTCCTTCTCCTCCTCCTCCTCCTCCACTTCTCCCCAATGCACGGAGACCAGCGTACACGACGACAGTTGGCGTATCATGCACTGGAGGACATGCAACATCAACATTCATATGTCGGGCTCCCCTCGAGCAAGATAGATAGGCGGAGTCGTGTTGCAGCCCTGCCTCGTCTGGCGCGTCAAAAGAATCATCATCGTACTTTTCCCCTCCACAGCTCTCTCTTTTCTCTTTCTCCTCGGATGGGTTGTAGTGTGCATGTGTGTTGGCAAGTCGCGAACTCCAAGCAGAGACTGTATTTGAGAGAGCCAGAGAACGGCACTGACGGCTAACACCGAGATTGTATCGACCAGTCGCGCACGGTTATGGAGTGGACTGGGTTCGTATGGCAGTTTATTTCCAGTGGACACGTGCCACCCGATCAAGGCGCCCGCATCTGTCACACAGTATGTATTTATTCTTGGGCCTGAAGCAGTCGACGAAGCAATACTGGTAAGACACAGCTCACATTTCACATGCCGGGCACATATTTTCACGCGCTCTTGGGCTCAGATGCGGTTGCAAGCTGTGAATTCCGACCTGCTGTGCGCGCTCCCGTGCTCTGGAAGAAGCCCTGAGCCTAGCTGACTACGGGGGGGAGGGAGGAAGGGTGCGCCGCCAAAACAAGATCCCACGACTCGTCGTGGCCTCGGCGATGGCGATGCACCCTGAGCTCCTTGCGATTGCTCCTCCCTTCTCCTCCTTCTCCCGGGAGGTGCCCGCCCCCGTCCCTCCCTCGCTCCCTCCTTCCCTCCCTCCTCCCTCCTCCCCTCTCGCCCTCTCCCCCCCTGGAGGCTCCGGGCCTCGATCCTCGAGCCTCGCCCCCCCCCCCCCGCCCTCTGCCTCTCCCTCCCTCCCCCTCTCGCCCTCCTCGACCCCGCGCAGCCCCTTTGGCCCCAGTTCCAGGGGGAGGGGTGTCTTCCAGGCACCCTGGCCCCTGGCGCCTCGGCGCGCGCGGGATCACCGAGCCTCTGCGGCGGTGCGGCACGTCGGCGTGGCCGCGAGGGGGGGGGGGCAGACCTCCCCTCGTCGCGAGCAGGAAAGTTGCGACAGGAGGCCCTCGGTCAGTTCTTCGGCCTCCGGGAAGGCCCTCGCCGGGCCCCGGGGCCCGTCCACCAAACGGCCCAGGATGCAGAACGGGGCGCGGTCTGGACCTCTGGGGGTCCACGTGGACTGGACCTCCGGGGGCCCAGACCTTCTCTCGTCGCGGACAGGACATCACGACGGGAGGCCTTGCCGAGGGAGGGGTCAGCGACGCGTTTTTGATCAGCGACGGGTGCCGATTCCGTACAGGACCGGCGCGCTCCATCAACATCAGAGGCGGCCTTGGCTTTTTTGTTGCGGTGGTTATTTTCCCCGACCCGTGGATCGGGCGCCCCTGCGCCATACAGTCGGCCCGGATTAGGAGGTCGACCCTGCCAAATCAAGGGTACCCTTGTGTCCTGTGTCTCGCGACCCGTGCCTCCTACATTCCTATGGCAATGTGGCCCTCGGAAGGGTCTTGTGTTCTCTCGCGTGTCCTGTCCAATGAAGTCCGACTGTATCCGCAGATCCCGAATCCGCGATGGCATGCGCGCGACCACGTGCCAGGCTTCGGCCACGGGGTGGGCCTTCGTCGGGCCCCGGGGCCCATCAACAAGACGGCCCAGCATGCAAAATTAGCTCCTGGACCTCGTTGGGCGACGATAGGGGCGAGAGAGCAATACATGTATTCAGTTGCGCCGATGATCTATGTCTTCGAAAAGGTTCCCTGGCGAATGCGTGTAATGCCCGCCCCTGGGCTATTCGCCCCTATCGTCGCCGCCGAGATCGGGGGGACGGACTGGGGCAGGGGGCTACGCGCGCCTGGTCGTGGCAGTGGTGGCGCCGCGGTGTCAGCAGTGGCGCTGGCGAGCGTCGCGTGGGAGAGGGACAAACACTGGACAACCACGGGACAATCACGAAACAATCACGGGATAGCCACGGAACTGTCACGGGACAAGCACGGGTCAACCACGAAGACAACCATGGGACAACCACGGAACAATTATCGGACAACGACGGGACACCACGGCACAACCGCGGGACAACCATGGGACAACCACGGAGACAACCACGGAGACAACCACGGAGACAACCACGGGACAACCATGGAGACAACCACGGAGACAACCCTCGGCACGTCAAGGGACAGCCACGGGGCAACCACTGGACAACCGCGGGACAATTTGGGGCATGCCCCTGTGGCTCGATCTGGGCCCAGCTGTGGCAGGATCGCTCTCGTCCTGGCGCAGCTTCGCCTCGAGCAAGCGCACGACACGAGCCGTGACCGAAATTGATTTCTTGGTTCGGGCCTCCGTTGCTTGTCAGTCTCACCCCCCACCTCCAGTTTCGGCAGTGGGATCGAATGATAGAGTGTGGACCGGTAGATGGCGAGATCAAGGTCGATGCATCGAGAGCGTGCGAATCCGATCCAACGCCAAACACAGACTGAAAGCTGCACCCATCCCCCCAAACCTCGTTATCGCCCGAAGGGTGGTCGCGCTGGCGCATAGACACATGTATATTTTGCAAGACGTGGGAACCATCTTCTTGGCGCAGCCCATGTAGCGCAATCCACGTCATGCCATACACACGCAGTAGGTATATATATATATATATATATATATATATATATATATATGCTACCCCCCCTCAGGGACCTACCTTTTTTGTGTTGTCGCGCAATAATCTGGCCGATGTTGTGACGCCGATGGTATTCGAATATGTTCCTCATCAGATGTCAACAGGAACGGGACATATTCCATGCTCTGGATATCCATATGGGGTTTAAGCGGAATGACAATACGACCCACGTCGGAAGGTATCAGATGTCAGAGCCAATTGGTCCCTACCGCGCCAAATAACATCCCAATGAGACTTCGATGCAAACCCTCAAAAATGCGGTGATAAGATGTTGTGTTCAGAGCAATGTAGCCCTGAATTGGCCATGGCGCAGTGGCGATGACATGGTTGGACCAGCAAGAAGTGCGACAAGTTGGGGTTCCAGGCCCCGCGGGCATTCATTTTGCACTGCATACCGCCATGCGTAGGAGCGCGCAAAGGAACGTATTGCAACATCCCCACGTAGTGCAGACGCACTACCCAAGCCTACCCCCACACGCCTGCCGCGGCAGAACATGTCTTCTGTATGTTGCGCTACATCTGTTGCATTGTGCGCACCGAATTGCCCACTGGTCGCCGTCATTGCGCCAAAGTAAAACACCGCGTAGTTACGCGCATTACCCCCAGTCTACCGCAGAGGGCCCGCCGCGGGCCGATCGCGCCATCAGCACGTCACGCATGATGTGTTGCACCATCTCCCCCGTCTTGGCCCACAAGTCGTCGTCCTTGTGCCAGTAGTCGTACTGAGCCGAGCGGGTCTTGGCGGCAAGCAGCTTAGTCCCTGCCTTGGCGGTGGCGCTCCTGTGCAGGCGGTCCTTGATGAAGCGCCACGCGCGGTCAATGATCTGAGGTGCTTCCCTGACGGGAGTACGTGCGTCTTCAGCTCGACGTACCCGGGAGGAATCAGCACCCTCTTGCCGCCGACGTTCTTGTACTTCTTCTTGTGGGCAACGAAGTCGTGGATGACACCAGGCGCGCGTAGTTTGTAGGAGCGCGCCGAGTCACTGTGAACGACAACGTCGCGGCCTTTCAACCAGCGCTCCGCAAGGGGCTTCCGCTCTACCTTGCGCGCGGCCCCAGGGCCAGGCGCCCGCTTCTCCGCCATCTCGGGGCTCAGCCTCGTAAGGGTCAGCGTGCGTGGCTTCCCGCGCTGCACAATGCCCAACCACTGCTCCCACATGACGGGGTGAGTCGGGTCTCCCAGAGGCTCGGGGCCGTCAGCCAAGTCCATCTTGTCGAAGGTCGCCTCGTCAGCCTCCACGTCTGCCCACACCTCGGCCCGCTGTATTCAATGGTCGGCTCCACGTCCTCCACGTACATTCTCCGAGCCTGCTCACTCAACATTGCTCCAGATCCGCTCCACTGCATTGTGGTTGACGCCGAACATGATGTGGGTGTTCGCGTGGGAGGTCCCCGTGAGCTTCGCCAAAAGAATCACGGCCTGATTCTGCGGGCTCTCGGAACCAGAGTGCGTGCTGAAGATTGGGTTAAGGTGGGCAGGGGACACGTGCTTCTGGCAGCACTTCGCATTGCAACGGTGCAAGAGGCGATCGCCCTTGTGCGGACGGGCGACTAACTCCCCGAGCGTGCCGCACCCGCAGATAGGACAAGTCGCCCCCGTCCAATCGACGAGCAGCTTGTCCTCCAGCAAGATGTTCACAATCTCCGAGTCAGACGCCGCCAAGAGCACTGGGACCGTGCGCTTCCACTTTGCTTGCTCGCGGCGCAATCCCCTGCCGGGCGTCGCGCCCTTCTCCCTGACGTACGGCACGTTCTTCCAGTCCTTGGTCTTGGTTGCAGAGGGGCGCTTGAGCACCATCCGAGCCTTGCCTTGTTTTGGGAACGAAGCCCGAACGTCCTCCGCAAGCAGCGGCGGGGCGACGGCAGACGGCAGTCCCAGGCCCCTGGCGCGATGGCACGGACGAGGCAGCGCGCGGGAGGCGCGGGCACCCGCGGCGCTGGCTGCCGACTCTGCCAAGAAACAGCTGCAGCGATGGCGACAGTTTGTGAAGGGGGGAGGAGGGCGACAAGGGGGGACTTCTAGTGACGACGATGGGCGACAACCATTGCGATCGAGTCGCTGGGCTCAAGATGGCTTCACCGCCACAGCGAGGCAACGCCCCCGCTGCTTATCAACAACCCCAAGCATCGCCCTGATCGAACCAGGGGCGCCGTCTCAGTTGGAACGCTGACCAAACGAACGATGCGGATGATGAGCATTTGATACATTCGAGCACGTGTGTCTGCCGTTTCATCTGGCGGCGCCAAATCATAGCGACGGCTTGATGCAATTATCTTGGTAGTGTGATGTACGGATTGCGTGACGACGCGGTGGCGGTAGGCTGACTGTGCCCGCTTGCAATGCGGTGCGCGCGGGTCCAGAACCCGCTGGCATCCTATGCGTGTTCAGATATCTGAGCGCAGGAGCGCGCAATTGAGGGCACCCCTGGCGAAATCCTCGCGCAATGCTGGCGCGCTACCCACGTCTATACCGAAGCGCTCGCCGCGGATGTCAACGCCAACCTAGGGTCGGCACCCTCACTCAGCCCCAACGACGAGGCCGCGAGTCGGCGTGCACCCCGCGCATCCACTCCCAGACCAGCTCGTTCTTCTGGAAGAGCTCCGCCCCCATCTGGCGCAGCGCCTCGGCCCGCCCCCCGATGTTGCGCATCGCCGCCAGGAGCGCCATCGTCTTCGGGGCGAGGAAATGCGACACCACCAACACCAGAGCGAGAAGACAGGGGGGTGTCTCTGGACCCAAAACCCACGGGCATTGCGCCCGACGAGGAGGGCATTGCGCCCGATATGGGCGTTTCGCCCAAAGCTGATAAGCATTGCGCCCGCGGCGGAGTTACGTCAGGAGGCCGGTGAGGAGAAGATGAGGGAAGAGGAGAGAAAGGAGGAGGACGTAAACAGTGGAACGAGAGGAAGAGAGGAGGGAAAACACGGACAAGTGGAAAACCCAGCTAAAACCGGACACGCGGAAAACCCAACTAAAAGCGGACAGGTGGAAGACCCAGCGGACAAGCAGAAGACCCAGCGGACAAGCGGAAGACCCAGCGGACAAGCGGAAGAAGGAAGAGGGAGGAAGGCGATCGACGGGAGAGGAGGAGCAGGCAGGACGAGGACGAGGAATAGCAAGACAGTGGGTCGGAGAGCGAGGAGAAGAGAAAATCGGAGGAAGGGGTTGGGGTGGAGCAGGGGGGGAATACAATGATGAAAAGAAAGGGGCAGACAGAGAGAGGGAGGTAGGGAGATGAGGAAAATGATGAAGAGGAGGGGGGGAATAAAAGAAAGGGAGGAGAGGAGAAGAGGGAGGAGGGGACGAATCTCCAACGATACGGACAATCGCGACGATGGCCACACACGATAGCCGCACCCAGAAACTCCATCTGATCCTCTTGGATGCTACCCCAACCACACTCTTTCATTTTAACAGATCCTCCTCCTCCTCCTCCTCCTCCTCCTCCTCCCCGTCCTCTTCCTCCTCATTCTCCTCCTCCTCCTCCTTCCTCTTCCTCCTCCTATTCCTCCTCTTCCTGCTCCGCATCCGCATCCGCATCCGCATCCTCCTCAGCATCATCATTTTCCTCCCCCTCCTCCTCCTCCTCCACCTCCTCCCCCTTCTCTTGGATTCCTCCTCCTGGAGGGCAGCTCCATTACCATCAACGCTGGCTCCCGCCTGTGAGGTTGCCAAACAACTCGCTGTGAGGAGGCTCCCACCTGGGAGGTCCCCCAAAAAACCAGAGGGGGCTTCCGCTTGAGGGGTCCCCAAAAACCCAAACAAGACGAGGCTGTCGCTTGAGAGGTTCCCCCCCGAACAAAAAAATGCAACTCGCGCTTGAGAGGTCCCAAAATACCGGACAAGATGAGGCTCCCGCCTGAGAGGTCCCAAAACAACAAACAGAAGGAGGCTCCCGCCTGAGAGGTCCCCCCCCCCAAAAACCCAAACATATTGAGGCTCCCGCCTGAGAGATCCCCAAACAAACCCACACAGAAGGAGGCTCCCGCCTGAGAGGTCCCCCAAAAAACAAACCAGATTGAGGCTCCCGCCTGAGAGGTCCCCAAAAAGCCCAGAGAAACCCAAACACCATGCCTCTCGTCCCTGCAACTGTCCCAAAACAACCCAAACAACCCAACGTTCCAGGAGAGATCCGACGCCGCTGCCCCAGATGCATTGACGAGGGCCGCCATCTCCTCTGGAACTTTGGGTTTGTTTGGGGGTTTTGTTTGGGACAGTTACAGGGATGAGAGGCATGGTGTTTGGGTTTCTTTTGTTTTTTTTTGGACCTCTCAGGCGGGAACCTCCACCTGTTTAAGTTTTTTTGGGGCCTCTCAGGCGGGAGCCTCCTTCTGTTTGGTTTTTTTTGGGGGGGCCTCTCAGGCGGGAGCCTCAACTTGTTTGTTTTTGTTGGGACCTTTTAGGTGGGAGCCTCCTCCTGTCTGGATTTTTTTTTGGATCTCTCAGGCGGGAGCCTCCACCTCCTCCTCGTCCTTCTTCCGTTTTCTTCCTCTGATGAAATCTTTCTCTTCATTCCATCTTTCTGTTACTTTATTATGCTGCTGCTTCTCCTCCTCCTCCTCCCCTCCTCCTCCTCCTCCTACACGACGAGGCGAAGAAGAAAAGGCATAATGAGGTAGGTCCCTGTGGGGGGGGGGTGCCATATATATACATATATATAGATGGGTTGCAAAGCACGGAGGCTCAGACAGGACACGCATTCCCGGCACCGAACTCTCAGCTTGTGTACTTTCTCATACACCCATATCTTGCAGTGTTTCTCATATCTTGCAGTGTCTCTCATATCTTGCAGTGTCTCATATCTTGCAGTGTTTCTTGCAGTGCTTCTCATTTCTTCTGTTGGGATGGCTTCGGAGGAATCTCGTAAGCGATTGACAGCCAGGGCCTCGGTCATGGAGGCCAAACTATTCAAGACCAGCAAGTTCGAATATGTCCAAACCTTCATGGGCAGAGTCCAGTCGTCCATCGCGGAAGGCAGTTTGGATGAAGATGCCATGGGCGCTCTCCAGAAGGGCAAGAACCACCAGTCCCCACAGCAGGTCCTCTGGGAAGGCTTGGATCTCGAAATGGAAGACGAGGCCGACGGTGAATTCTGGCAGGATCAATCCTCTGAGTTCTCCCAGTTCGACAGGCGGCTGAAAGCGGCGGAGAAGCGTCTCGACTTCCATGACCAGCTCCACGCTGAAGCAGAGAAAGAGAAGAGGATCGGACACTTGTCCATTCGCCGGAAGGGCCCCATGGACACCCCCACGTTCCATTCTGAGGTGAAAAAGTTTCAGGCAGCAGTTGATCAGTCCAAGGACATCCGGAAGTTGGTGTCCCGGCAGGTTGTCATGAGGGACGAGGTTCTGGTTGAGGCTTGGAACAGCAACACAAAGGGAGAGCTAAAGTCGGCTCTCATTCATCTCGTCCGGGAGAAAAAATTCAAGCTCCTGGTGCTGAATTGCATTGGCGAGTCCGCGAAGCACCTCGGAAGGCCTGCCCGAGTCTTCCACAGCTTTCTTTACCAAATGGCAGAGGCAGATTCCGTTAATCTCGGGCGCCTGCAGCGCATCCGGCACAGCTTCCAGGGCTTCGATGCATGAGTATGAGTGGGATGTGAGGGCCGCTGCTGAGAAGGACGCGGAGGACGACGTGGTGATCGCACGGGGCTCCGTGGAGCGCCGCGGGGACGACAGCGAGTGCATGGCCATCCTGATCACCGAGAGCATCCCCTTCACGAAGGGGGCCGCCAAGGGCAGCGACCTCCTCCCGCTCTTCAAAGACAGCATGCACAACACGGTCGTGCTCCCATTCGAGATTGAGACCAAGATCGTCGACGGCAGCCTGCTGACGAGAGTCCCCAAGAGGGGCCGCCCCAGCAGGGCGCCCGCCGCCGCCGCCTCGGCCTCTGCCGGCGCCGCTGCCTCCGGAGACGGCAAGAAGGCGAAGGGCGAGGAGAAGCCGAAGACCAAGAAGAAGGCCAAGAAGGAGACCTAGGGGTCGCAGGCCGGAGACAGGAACACTCGCGATCCAGCAGTTCGGCAGGCTAGGCCGGCCACGCATAGTAGCTCGGAACACCCTCTCCCCCCCTCCCTCGGACCCCCCCCGCCTCGCTGCCCGGGGGCAGGGCCCCAAGCCATCGAAGGCAGGAGTTTTTCGCAGCGTCGTTTCCCGGACCTCTCGACCCCGCCCCCGGCGCCTTTTCGGGCCCCCGGTTCGTTCCCGGGGGTCCACTGAGACCCTTCGCGGAGATCGCGGCAGGCGAACCACTGCGGGCACCTCCTCCTCTTCGCTCTGGCTCAAGTTCTCAGGCTCAAGGGCAGACCCCCACGCTGGGGAAGTCTGCGCCGCTGCATCGCCACCTCAATATGAATTTCAACGCTGCTTTTCCGCAGGTGGCCCGTCGTGGACAGGGGGCTCCTGGACACGGCGGGGCCAGCTCGGGCCTGACGCCCCCGTCTTCCTGGCCATGGGCTGTGGCAGGGATGCAAGATGGAGCAGGGTGCTCCCGGCGGGCCTGCCGGGCCCTTGCAGCGTCGGACCGGACCGTCCTGCAATGTAGTCGCACGCTGCTGCTGAGGCACCGCTGCGCCGTCAGTGGCCGCGCGGGTCAGCCGCGGGTGATCTCCACCCAGCGGAGACCGATCGAGCTTCAACCGGAGGTTTTCGGTGCACCCCACCGCTTGCGAAACGCAAATCGAGGCCTACGTGAGCCCGCGTCGATCGCCAGACGCCAGAAGCAACGCTCCTTGCGTCGAGCGGCATGCCGTCGCTTACGGAGGCCAGAGAATTCCTCCACTCGGCCCGCCCAGCGGGCTCAGGAAGGTCGTCGTTCCCTCCCTCCCAAGCTACCGCAGAGCACCCAACTTGCGGTCAGTGCCTTTAACCCCCCATGGCATTGAAAAGTTGGGCAAGCGCGAAGCTATCGACACTTGGATGCGCCGTAGGAGCGTTGACATTGTCTTTCTCCCAGAATCGCAAGCCTCCCACAACAGTAGAGAAGTCCGCAAGGACACTCTATGGCACCGCAGCTCCACGGGGCAGCCTCGGGCCCGCAAAGGCACGGCATTTCTGCAGTTCTGCGCAGGCGTCTTGCGAAGAATATCTTAGACATACAACCCGTATCAGAGCGCATCATACTTGTCAAACTTCGATGCCCGGGCCGCCCATTGGCCTTCGTGGGCCTCTACGCGCCCGCGGCCGACGCGAGCCGGGAAAGTACAGACGCTTTCTGGTCATTTGTCCAGCAAACCTATAAGCCCGTGAAGCACAGCTGCATTACATACTTCTTCGGCGATTTGAATGCGCGGGTGCAAATCAACTCAGGAGACGATCCGGCGGCGGTTGGCTGGTAACACTTTCGACCGAGAACACACCTCTCTCGAGTCGCAGACCCCGGAGGTCAGCGACAACCGAGAGCGTCTCTTAGACTTCTGTGGACAGCGCCGCCTCCAGCTCAGCAACACATTCTTTTCGAAACCGCAGCGTAAGCTATGCACATACCTCCAACACAAAGCCAGGAGGTTGAGCCGCCATGGCACCGATCCAAGTACGAGACGCTCGATTATGTCATCACACCCCATCGTTGGAAAAAAAAAAAAACGCGATCTTAAATTGTGAAGCCGGCCCCCTGTCGGGTTTGGAATCCGACCACTTCCCGCTGGTGAGTGCCATCCGTGTCAGACTCAAGGCAATGAGACGCACCTCGCTCGAGCCGCCGCCGCAGTGGCAAGCGCCGGATCGCGAGGCCCGACAAGCATGCAATCGGAAGCTCACGGATTTGGACCACCGGCCAACCGCTACGGAATTCAGGGACCTAATGCTCGCATCCGCACAGGAGCATCTCCAGGAGGAGAGAATCGCCCGCAAGGGTTTTAGTATCTCCCCTGCACTGGACCGGAAATTCGTGGAGCGCACCGAAGCCAAGCGCATTGGCGACCACGCCAGGTACAAAGTGCTGTGCAAGGAAATTCACAACGACATCAAGCTTGCCAAAAAGCAACAAATCAGAGACACGTTATCCAAAACACTCGACATAAGGGAGAAATGGTTGGGTATTCGGCAGCTGAAAACTGGTTATCGTCCGATGCCATGCCATACTAAAGTCGATGGCAAGCCCGTCCCAGTACACTTGCGGGCAGAGGCTGCGGCCGCCCACCTGGCAACCAAGCAATGGAGGAAAGCGGGCAGGTACCGCCCCAAATTTGAATTTTCCCAGCTCGTCGACAGCGCCCTGCCAGTCGAAACAGGCCCCTTCACGTTGCCGGAGTTACAGCCGCTTCTCAAAACATGGAAACGACACAAGGCGCCCGGCCCATATGGTTTGTCCATGGATCTCATCCGCGAACTCGATAAACGACAACCTCCAAAGCGTCCTCGACTTTCTGAATCAATGGTGGTCCGATGAGTTCGTGCCGGACGATATGTTGGCAGCCAGGGTGGTGCTCCTGTTCAAGAACGAGGGCAGCGCTGCCAACCTCGACAACTACCGTTCCATCTTCCTGCTGAATCCGTGCTATAAACTCATTGCGGGGGTCCTCAAAGACCGCGTCGCCAAGAATATTCAACCGACGCAATTTGGATTTCGGGCACGGCGCAGCACGTCCCAAGTCTTGAAGATCGTCAGACAGATGGTTCACCAAGGCGCCAGCACACAAAATTACACGCAGGGCTCTCCGCTCTATCTGCTGTTCCTCGATTGGAAAAAGGCGTTTGACCGCGTCACACACGAAGCCTTGTTCAGCGCTCTGGAGCGCATGCAGCTGCCGGCCACAATCGTTAACGTTGTGAAAAAGGCTTGTATAGGAACCCCACTTTCCAGGTAGGCATGGACAACTACGAGTCAAAATGGCACCGCCAGGACGCTGGGATCCGCCAGGGTTGCCCTCTCACCAGATCTCTTTCTGATCGTTATGCATGTGCTGTTCCAGGACATCTACAGCAAGCACTGCACGTCGCTTTCGGAAGGGCGTCCGCCCGGAGTTACATTCGATGCCGTACTGTTCGCTGAGGACACGATGTGCGTTTCGTCAAATAAATCTCAAATCGCACGCATGCTGCACGCCATTGAAAAAGAAAGCGCGCGTTTTGGGCTTAACCTAGACAACGCATTTCCCGGCAAAGCAACCTGACAGCGATGTGTAGAAGCATAGCTGGAATCAGTGCCTGTGGTATTCATGTAAGAGTGCTGTTGTAGAATTCTGGTGTTCTCGCAGTCGCATTCGGATTCGCAGTGGCAGTCGCAGTGGCAACATCAGCGGCAGTCGCAGTGGCACTGCCAGTAGTTGCAGTAGCAATATCTACACTAGCAGCAGCAACAGCAGCAGCAGCAGTAATAGTAACAGTAGTAGTGAAGATGATGAGTCTTGGAAGTCTGGGAAGTGGAAGAGCACGAAGTGGCGTACAGTTGGCTCCGGGCATTCAAAATGTGGCCCGGGAATGGAGTTCTGGGAAGTGGAAGAGCACGAAGTGGCTTACAGCTGGCTCCGGGCATTCAAAATGTGGCCCGGGAGTTGTGTTTTGGGAAGTCCGAACAGCACGAAGTGTGTGACTGTTTTCTTAAAACGAGCCCGGCCCTGAGCCCGGCCCTCGCTGTCCGGATGCCGCCCAGACCTCCTTTCTGAGTCATCAGATGCTCTCTTTTGACACCACTAGAAACCTATCAGTCTTCGCTGTTAGGTAAAAGTGTGAACTCATGGTCATAGGACCGCCAAGTCGGATAAGATACCGGGATGGCACACATGTTCCGTCCGCGGAGACGGTAAAGTATTTGGGCTGCTCCCTTGTCAGTAAAAACGACGTCGGTAAAGAGATCGGCGCACGCATCCGCAGCTGCTACCAAACGATGCAACGACTTGATGCATTCTGGCTGCACAACGATTGCTCGGTCTCGCAAAGAATACAAATATTCAACGCCGTATGCAAATCGAAATTGTTGTACGGCTTAGAAACCCCTCAATTGACCCCCAGGCAGACACAGCGGCTCGACGGCTTTCAATTGAAAGGCTTCCGCAAGATCCTTGGGATCTCGACTACGTTCGGCCAAATGGCCCAGGGCCAGGACCGCACGAACACGAACGAGTACATCTACAGCCAAGCCCAAAATGCCCTCAATAGCCGGAGGCCTCATAAGGCCCTCGAACGCTTCAGCGCCACGTACGAAAAAATCAAGTTTGATCTGCTTTGCCGCCAGATCTCAGCCCCCGCGACGGACCCAGTCGCCTCCTGCACTTTCGACCCACATACGCTCCAGCCTTGGGACTATGGCCCCAAACGCGTCGGGAGACCAAGGAAGGCTGGCGAGTGGTACGAGCATGCCGCAGACACCCTCTGGCGGACTTCAGTCGTGCCGCCCCGGCCATGGCTCGAAGACACAGCGCTCGATCTTACACTGACCTCTCATAGACTTCTCCTACGAGTCACGGCGTGGCAAAGGATGAAGAAACTCCACCCCTTGTTCCTTCTGTTTTGCGACCGCCTACGAGAAAAGAAAACAACTCTGGTCCGCCCTGCCTGGACGGCCCTTGCCCCCTCCCTCCCTCGCTGCCGCCTTGGGTCCGCCCCGTTCCCCCCCCCCTTCCCTTCCCTTCCCCCCCCCCCCTTCCCTCCCCCCTTCCCTCCCCCCTCTCCCCCCCCTGGGGGGGAGCGGATGTTCCATAGGTGACCGTTGGATGATGCCGGCCAGAAGCCCCGGCCGCACGCTGCTAGCATGAATCGATACCCCGGCCGCAGAAATGACGACCGGCTACAGGAGGCTTCGCCTCAAGGCTGCCCGTGTAGAGAATTAGGTCCGGAGTTCCTCCTCGGACTGGGTTCGCGGCAGCCGAGCCACGAGCAAAAAAAATATGGGTTGCAAGCTGTGGGCTGCAAGCTGGATGGTGCAAGCTACGTTGTGAACTATTGTGTGTGTGTGTGTGTGTGTGCATCGACATCGCCAGGCAGTTCTCGAGGTGCCGAAGAGAAGCACGCCGAGGCGGCGACGAGGCGAATCACCGGATCGTCCAGCCGGCGCGCGAGGCGCCCACCTCGTCGCCCAAGGAAGGCGCCCGCGGGGCGAGGGCCCGCAGCGTCCGGCGCCGGCGCACGCTGCGCCCAACGGAGAGCTCCGCCCGTTCGCATGGCGGCCGCCTTGGCGAGCAGCTGGCACACCCACCAAGTGTGCAAGCACGGTATCGGGCCCTCCTCCTCCTCCTCCTCCTCCTCCTCCTCCTCCTCCCTTCTCCTCCTCCTCCTCCTCCTCCTCCTCCTCCTCCTCCTCCTCCTCCTCCCTCCTCCTCCTCCTCCTCCTCCTCCTCCTCCTCCTCCTCCTCCTCCTCCTCCTCCTCCTCATGGCGCTCCTCCTCATAATCCTCCTGCTCCTCTTCCTCTCCCATCCTCGCCCCGTTTGCATGGCGGCCGCCGGGCGAGAAGCTGACACACCCACCAAGTGTGCAAGCACTCAGAAGAGGAAAAGGTACCCATCCCTCAGCCTTTTCCTAGTTTTTTTCACTTTTTGGGCCTCCTCGGAGGCCCTCGTCGCCACCGTCGGATTCGAAATTCTGGTCAGAACGCACCCCGAGAGAGGTCCGGGGGGTAGCGGTATCGGTACCTTTGGGTTTCCCCAATCAAGAGCCCCTCGGTGCAGTTTTGGTTCAGGAGTCGGAGTGGTACGAATGATGAGAGGAGGAGGTAGGGGCGAGGATGGGAAAGGAAGAGGAGCAGGAGGATTATGAGGATGAGCGCCGGGAGGAGGAGGAGGAGGAGGAGGAGAAGGAGGAGGAGGAGGAGGAGGAGGAGGAGGAGGAGGAGGAGGAGGAGGGTGGAGGACGACGACGAGAGCAGTGACGGGAGGTCAGCGGCTCGCCCGCGCATGGCACCTGCAGTGGCGACCCGAAGACAGCATTGTGTCTGTCCGCTGCGACCATCAAGGGATGCAGCACCCCTGGTCTCTTCCTCCGCCTCCGCGTTCCTATCCCCCTCCGTGATGCTTCAAATTTATTGCCCACACTGTTGGTTCTGCTTCCGCAGCGTTCTCGCCATCAGCTTCGCCATGCAGTGAAGTGAGACTTCCGAGCATCCTTTTGCATTCCATGCTCCTCTCTCCCTCGCTTTTTTCCTCTCTCTCCTGCACCCCCTGATCCCATATCTGTACATCGAGAGAAAGAGAGAGAGAGAGAGAGAGAGAGAGAGAGAAAATGAGAGACATGAAGAAAGAGAGAGAGAGAGAGAGAGCGAGATACAGTCAAAAACTCTAATAAGGACGCACGACTTTGCTCAGGGTACCCTTGCGTCCTTGCTCTTCCTTGCTCTTGCGTCCTTGAGGTTTTCGTCGTCCGCCGCCCCAAAAATCCCAACTTCGGCTTCCAAGGGTCTTCCGTCCTTGCCGCGCGTCCTTATTAGCGATTTTGATTGTAGAAAGAGAGAACGTGTGTGTGTGTGTGTGTGTTGCCTTCGGCCCATCCCGCCACCGTTCCTGAGCTGTAGGTAAGTTGCCTCGTGGAAACCTTTCGATGCAGTCTCTTGGGACGCCTCTGGGGAGCCTCTGATGATCTTCTTTGGGGGGGCATGCTGGGGATCTCGTGCTGGCCAAAAGCTGTCAGTTCTTACGATTCCGTGCGTCGTTCGTATGACAGGGACGAGTCGTCGTTCGTACGACCGGGGGTTGGGCCCCGTGTGGCACGGTTTTGCCCCCTGTGGCACGGTTTTTTGAGCAGCCTCTGCTTCGGGTTGCTCCCATGCAGCCCAGGGAATGTCATGCGCGCAGCTTCTGCTCCCAGACTTTACCAGCCCAGACGCCCCGCGAAGAGGTAGCAACCGGAAAAATTTAATCAAACAAATCGTGCGCGCAGTTTTTGATCCCAGAGCTCCCAGCCTAGGCGCCCCACCCGAAGGGAGCAACCAGGGAATTTAAGCAGATCACGTTGCTTCTTATTTCGCCCTGCCTCGTGGCCCGGGTCTTGCTGGGCTGCCAGCGCAGGTGTGGCGGTTTTTCCTTTTCCCAGCACCGCCAAGGTCTTGCCTGCCTTGTTTGCCGTTGTGAGAGCACCCCGTGCCCAGAGGTCCCTCAGACCATAAGGGTCATGCACGCGCTCTCTGCTCCCGGACGCTCCCGGCCCAGGCGCTCCACCAGAAGGGAACAATCGGGAAGTTTTAACAATCAAGATGCTTCCGGCCAAGGCGTCCCCACAGGGAGGAGTGTCTGAGTTCTTACGATTCCGTGAGTCATTCGTATGACATGCGAGTCGTTCTTGTGATTCGAGAGGGTGAGCCGTCTGATACGGGAGATTTGTTTTTGCGATAATTTTTGTTAGGGCAGCGCGAGCTGTTCTTGTGATTCGTTTAGGCCCCCCTGTGTCAGGGAAGTGTGGCCCCCTGTGACAGGGAATTGAGCACCCCCTGTGGCAGGGAATTTAGCACATTTGAACACCCCCTGCGACAGAGATTTGAGCACCCCCTGTGACAGAGAATTGGGCAACCCGTGGGACCGGGGGTTGAGCACGCCCTGTGGCAGGGAATTGGGCACCCCCTGTGACACGGAATTGGGCACTCCCTGTGACAGAGAATTGGGTACTCCCTGTGACTGGGTGTTGGGCACCCCCTTGTGAACGGGTGTTGGGCACCCCCTGTGACAGAGAATTGGGCACCCCCTGTGACTGGGTGTTGGGCACTCCCTGTGACAGGGAATCGCCCCGGACGCTCCTGGGGCGATAATTGTTTTGATTTCGTTCAGCATGAGTTGCTGTTCGTTTTATGTTTTTTGATCAGCCAAAACACGACTCTTCATATATCTGTCCCGTCGTCTCTTTATGTTTGACATCTTCAGTTTTTCAAAATTTCCAAGGTACATGGCTACTGGCGGCTTGTATTATTAATTTGATTTAGGGGGCTATCACTTTCTTTATTCTCTACCTAGGCTCTGCCTAGAAGGGTTCTTACTGTCTTTGCTTAAAGGGGCCGGGCAGTGTAACCCGCCCCGGGCGGCTCCCCCAGTCCCCTGGGAGCGGTTCCCCCAGTCCCCTGGGAGCTTTAGCTTTAGCTTTAGCTTTAGCTTAGCTTTAGCTTAGTTTTAGCTTAGCTTCAGCTTAGCTTCAGCTTAGCTTTAGCTTAGTTTTAGCTTAGCTCTAGCTTAGCTTAAGCTTAACTTTAGCTTAGCTTTACTGTTACTACTAATGCTGCTTTCCTAGGGGCTCCAACTCCTAGGTAGGGTCGCACTGGGATAATTCATTTTGTGTTGCTGACATCCTTTCTTAGTTTTCAGTTTGACTGTCAGTTTGTTATGTGCCTATTGTGCAAAGTAGTCTGCCAGGAAATTGCGGTGCAAATAATATTGCGCACGAGAGGGCGAGCCCAATCGCAAGAACAGCCCATTGCCGAATCGCAAGAACAGCACACGACCCAATCGCAAGAACAGCCCACGGCCCAATCGCAAGTACAGCGTAGACATTTCAGTCGAACGGCGCGTACTCCTCAGTGCATGGATGGCGCACGCGAGTCGGTAGAACAGCGCAGCGTTGTGTAGGCCTTTTGGAGGCGCCTTGGGGCCTCTTGAGCTCCCCTTGGGGGCCTCTGGGGGGCTCTTGAGGGCCTCTTCAGGGCCTGCTGGCGGTCTCAGGAGCCATCTTTGTGCAAATGGCTCGACACGTAAGTTTGTGCTTCTTCTCTTGGACCCCTCTTGGGGCCGTCTTGGGGGCCTCTTAGGCCCTCTCGGGGGCCCCGGGGGCCGTCTTGGGGCGATCTTTGGGGCCTCATTGGCCCTCTTCGACGCTTTTAAAGCGAAAGAAACGAGGCATGGTACTCTGGCATGCTTTCCAACGAGTTTCTGTTCTGGGTCGGCCCCCATGGCCTCCAAGACGGCCAAAGAGCTGCCTAAGAGGTCGCCAGGACGGTCCCAATGGACCATGTTAAACAGTGCCCTGTGACCGCACTCGGTTATTCGGCCATGTTGAAAGTGCGGATTCGAAGCCACGCCGACGAGGCTTCAAGGAAAGTTACGCGAGAAGCCCCAGAAGCGCCCAGAAGCGTCCACGAGGGACATTGGCTATACAGAGAGCTCGAAGGGTCCTGAGGACACTCCACTTAGTGCCTACGGAAGGGTGGCGGAGAGGAGAAGGAGTATGAGCAGAATGAGCAGCAGCAGAGAGATGAGGGGCAGGAGGGACAGGGAGACGAGAAGGAGCGCGGAGAGGAGGGAGGAGGGTGATGAACGGGAGGAGGGTGGGGAGGAGGAGGAGGAGGAGGAGGAGGAGGAGGAGGAGGAGGAGGAGGAGGAGGAAGGAGGAGGAGGAGGAGGAGGAGGAGAAGGATGGGGACGTGGATCATGACGATAAGTATGACGATGCTGACGACGTGGCGACGACGATGATGGCTCCTAGCAAATGGATGATACAGGAGAAAAACACCGACCATGACCTTTTTAGGGCTATAAGGCTACTAAGATTTAGGACAATTGAGCTATAGGTGCAATAGGGCTATAGGGCTAGAGGGCTAGAGGGCTATAGGGCTATAGGACTATAAGGCACCCGGGCACCCGGGCACCTGGGCACCCGGGCACCCTGGCACCCGGGCACCCGGGCACCCGGGCACCCGGGCATCCCGGCACCCGGGCACCCGGGCACCCGGGCATCCAGGCACCCGGGCACCCGGGCGTGCCGCCGAAATCGGCGCCACATTTCACCTAACCATATGAATTCGCTAGGACCCCTGCAGAGGCAAGCTCTGATAGGGGAATGATGCTGAGCAGGAAGGATCAGGCCACAGGATCACTGCACCGCACCCCGCCCAGGTGCCCGCCTCCCGACGAGAGCTTCCAGAGTCTGCGTCCACGAACCCTACCCCTATACGGGTCTACGCGACGCCATGTATCGGACACCCCCGCTGGGGTTCACCCAGCTGCCGACATCCTGAGAGCACTGAAGCCTAGCTGGAAAGCTCAGACATCTGACCTCTATTCACCAGCCTGGAACATACCCCTATCCCTATGATTGGCATCGCCTCATCTCGATGCCGATCTTAGGGGCTCCCTCCGTTTCTGAGGGCGCATCCCTAAGATTGTCGTCGACTTTTGGCTTGTTAAACGTAGGGATCGGGATACGTTCGAGGCTGGTGATGTATGGGCAGGGCTCACACCCCAGACATGCGACGTCCTGATGTTTTCAGGACGGCGTCCCTGGAGGTCCCGACCCTTTCACCGGGACTGTCTTTTCGTCCTGAGTTGTTTTTGTCACGGTCCCGTGGCCCAGCGAGGGTCCCCCAGAGCCGAAAATAGCAAAATAACCTCCCGTCCGGATTTTTTTGCGACGCGATCATGTCTGGGATGTGATTGCCAACGGAGAGACCCGCCCGAAACCTCCCCGACGCTGCCCCCCGCAGGCGACGGGCGTCCACGGCGATGGCGCGGGGTACAGGGCGTCCTCGTGCGAGCAGGAGGCAAGCGAGGGGGCCTGGCCGCGCGGGCCGGGGTGGCCTGGGGGTGTTTGGGCCTGCTGGGCTGAGTTGGCCAGGCCGCCTGCGTCGGTTACGTTGGCTGGGGTGGCTGGGGGTGGCCCTCCAGGCCTCCCAGGTGGAGTCCTAGTGTTAGTATCGTTTATCCGCCCCCCATCCACATCCTCATCTCATCCCCTTCGAGACCTTCCACATCACCACCCCAGTTGGGGATACACCCCTCGAAACCCGAAGAGGACGGCCTATATCTTCATTTAGGGGGGTAAATCGGCCAGTGGGGCCCAGGCCACGCCGCTGGGGGTGGGGATCGGATAATCGATACTCATAGTGCCGAGTAGATGGGTCGGAGGATCGCGCCGCATCGCCGATGCATCGGCTCGGCGGCTCGATGTCGAGCCCGATTTTATCCACGGCGACGGCGCCGATGCGTCGCCGATGTGGCGAGATCCTCCGACTACCTGGATCCGATCTAGGAGGAGTGAAGTTTCGACGATACTGTTGATTTTGTTATTGATGATGATGATGATGATGATGATGATGATGATGATGATGGTGGTGGTGGTGGTGGTGATGATGATGATGATGATTATGGTGCTGATGCTGATGCTGATGCTGATGCTGATGCTGATGCTGATGCTGATGATTATGATGATGATGCTGAAGGTGATTATGCTGATGATGCTGATGATTATGATGAGGATGCTGCTGCTGATGATGATCATGATGATGATGAGAGGATACTGATGATTGATGATGATGATGATGCTGATGATGATGATGATGATGATTATGATGATGCTGATGATGATAATGATGATGATGATGATTATGGACATGGTGGTGGTGATGATACTACTGATGGTGATGATCTGGAAGATGTTGATAACTGTAATGGTGATGGTGATGATGACGACGATGAGGGTGGTGATGACGACATTGATAGTGGTGATGGTGACGATGATGGTGATGATGATGCTGATGATGCTGCTGCTGATGATGATGATGTTGATGATGATGCTGATGATGATGCCGATGAGGATGATGATGGTGATGATGATGATGATGATGATGATGATGATCATGATGATGATGATGATGATGATGATGATGATGATGATGATGCTGATGATGATGATGATGATGATGATGATGTTTATGTCGATTATGATAATCATGATGATGCTCCTGATGAGGATCATTACGACACTTCTCGAAACGCCAGGAAGCGGAACTCCAAGAAATCCCAAGAGACTCACACGCATACAAGGAGCTTCAACACGCCTCCCGAAGGCCCGCTTCGAGCCTCCCCACCTCGACAGTGCTCCCCGAGGCGCGCATCCGGCCTGATATGCTGGTTTCCTTCACTCCCGACGGCCCCTCGTGGCCCCTCACGCACAGCAGGCCTGATGTTCCCGGAGGCGGCTTCTCGGAGAACATCGGGTCGATGCCACGACGACGCTGCCTTTTTCCTCGCTCGGGCCCCACGGTCCCTTTGCGCCGAGCTGGTCCAGCCAGCTCGAGTCGCCCCGCCGCGGTCGCAGCGCCGTGCCTAAGCCAGACAGGCCCAGCGCGCGCCGCGCCCGCCACCCCTTAGGCGGGCGGCCCTGGCACGGGCCTCCGCCTCACGGCTGCTCTGAGGAGGAGGAGGGCCAGCCCCCCCCCGTCAGAACTGGTGTTGCTTTGCTCCGTTCTTCTTGGGATTGTTATGATGCGCACTGTTCATGACGACGATGCTGATGCTCATTGTTGCGATGATACGGAGGCTTACATTGGTGGTGCTGATGATGCTGATAAGGAAGATTATGATGCTGCAGGTGATGACGATGATGATCATAGTGATGATGCTGATGATGATGATGATGGTGATGATGATGATGATGATTATGATGACGATCATTATCACGAGTGTGATTTTGATGCTGATGGGGATTGTTATGATGCTACTACCCCTGCCCACGACAGCTCAGGATGGCTCCAAGACGGCCCCAAATGGCTCCAGAGGCGGACCAAGATCTATCCCGTGTGTTCATAACGATGCTCACGTTTGCGATGATATGGAGAAGCACGATACTGATGATGAGCATGATGGTGATGAAGTTGATGCTGATGCTGGTGTGATTGTGATGCTGATGCTGATGTTGCTGCTGATGCTAATGCTCATGCTGTTGATTATGATGATACTGATGTTGAGGATGATAATGATGATAGTGATAGTCAAAGTAATAGTGATATTGATGGTGATTGTCATGATTGTGATGGTGATGGTGATGATCACATTTATGCTGATCATGGTGATGCTGCTGCTGATGATGCTGATGATGCTGCTGATGATGATGGTGATGGTGATGGTGAAGTGGTCCCTGATGGTCCTGACGAGACTTGTGTTGGTGTTGAAGACAATGACGGTGATGAAGACGGTGATGATGACGATACTGAAGATGCAGATGCTGATGAGAATGGTGACGGTATCGATCATGGTGATGATTAGTATCCTGGCAATGGTGATGGTTCTGACTCCTTCGCCTGAGTCCGGCGAACGCCTCTGAGGCTGCTGGAGGGCCCCGAATTTGCTCGAGGGAGTCCCAAGAGGGGCCCCATAGACCACCAAGACGGTTCGGAGAGCCGTCAATAGCTTCTACAAATGACCCAAGGGATCTCGAAGAGCCCAGCCTGACGGCTCCGGGATGCGCCAGACGGGCCAAATGCACCGTAGGACAGTCTGCGAAGCCCCGCTCGAGGTCTTCCAGAGAAGCACCAAGTGGCCCCAAAGAGACCTCCAAGATGCCCCCCAGAGGTTTTCAAGAGTCCAACAGGACCTCTAAATCGTTCCATGCCCAATGGGAAACAGCAGGTTCTGAACTCGCTGGTTCGCGCTCGATGGGCTGGCCACTCAGGCCTCCAGATGCCCCCCAGCCAAGGAGCGCCCGAAACGACAGAAGAGGGCCCCGAGAGAACCTTCAAACGAGTTCTGGGAGCCAGCTTCCCCGACCCCCCCCCAAAGGCCTCCAAGAGGCTCCCCGAGGCGCGCCGTCGGTCGGAGATTCCGTGAGGCCTGTCCTGGACTATCGGGCCGACGACGACGATGACGATGTTGATGGTCATGCTGGTGTTTGTGATGATGATGAAGATGGCGATGATGATGATGATGATGATGATGATGATGATGATGATGATGATGATGATGATGATGATGATGATGATGATGATGATGATGATGATGATGATGATGATGACAATGAGGGTGCTGATGATGGTTATGCTGATGACGATGCTGCTGATGATGCTGATGATGCTGCTGATGATGATGGTGATGGTGATGGTGAAGTGCTCCCTGATGGTCCTGACGAGGATGGTGCTGGTGTTGAAGACAATGACGGTGATGAAGACGGTGATGATGACGATACTGAAGATGCAGATGCTGATGATAATGGTGACGGTATCGATCATGGTGATAATTAGTATCGTGGCAATGGTGATGGTTCTGACTCCTTCGCCTCAGTCCGGCGAACGCCTCTGAGGCTGCTGGAGGGCCCCGAATTTGCTCGAGGGAGTCCCAAGAGGGGCCCCATAGACCACCAAGACGGTTCGGAGAGCCGTCAAGAGCTTCTACAAACGACCCAAGGGATCTCGAAGAGCCCAGCCTGACGGCTCCGGGATGCGCCAGACGGGCCAAATGCGCCGTAGGATAGTCTGCGAAGCCCCGCTCGAGGTCTTCCAGAGAAGCACCAAGTGGCCCCAAAGAGGCCTCCAAGATGCCCCCCAGAGGTTTTCAAGAGTCCAACAGGGCCTCTAAATCGTTCCATGACCAATGGGAAACAGCAGGTTCTGAACTCGCTTGTTCGCGCTCGATGGGCTGGCCACTCAGGCCTCCAGATGCCCCCCAGCCAAGGAGCGCCCGAAACGACAGAAGAGGGCCCCGAGCGAACCTTCAAACGAGTTCTGGGAGCCAGCTTCCCCGACCCCCCCCAAAGGCCTCCCAGAGGCTCCCCGAGGCGCGCCGTCGGTCGGAGATTCCGTGAGGCCTGTCCTGGACTATCGGGCCGACGACGACGATGACGATGTTGATGGTCATGCTGATGTTTGTGATGATGATGATGACGACGATGATGATGATGATGATGATGATGATGATGATGATGATGATGATGATGATGATGATGAAGATGCCGATGATGGTTATGATGATGATGACGATGAGGGTGCTGATGATGGTTATGCTGATGACGATGCTGCTGATGATGCTGATGATGCTGCTGATGATGATGATGATGCTTATGATGATGATGCTGCAGATGATGATGAGGATGATGATGAGGATAAGGATCAGGATGATGATGCTGCTGATGTTGATGATGATCATAATGATGATGGTGATACTGATGATACTGATGATGATGATCATACTGATGATGGTGATACTGATGATTATGATGATGATGATGGTGATGATGGTGATGATGATGCTGCTGTTGCTGTTGCTGTTGCTGTTGCTGTTGCTGATGATGATGATGATGATGATGATGATGATGATGATGATGATGATGATGAGTCGGATGATGAGTCGGATGATGCCTATCACGTCACGGCATGGCTGGCAGCACTTGGGCAAGGATATTCGAAATGTTGTTGCTGTTGTTGTTATTGTTGCTGATGATGGAGATGATGATGATGACCATGGTGATCATGCTGCTGATGATGATGAGGAGGAGGAGGAGAAGGAGGAGGATGAGGATGAGGAGGAGGAGGAGGAGGAGGAGGAGGAGTACGAAGGTGAGGACGGGAATGAGGATGAGGGTGGGTATGGGTACGGCGATGTCGACCGCTTGTGCCTGATAGGTCTGTCTATGCTCTTCCAGTGACCCCCCGGTCTGCGCTAGAATCTGAGCGCGCACGAAGCGAGTGCGATGGTTTTTCTTGGACTCATAGTGCCTGGACCCCCCCTGGGTAACGGTAGCGACATGTTGGTGTTCCTGCACATATTGTGGCGGTCGCAGCGCACCCCCGCCCCGACGTGCCCCACCACGCCCACGCGTTACCGCCACCTCAGGCCCCACCCCCACTCCCAGGTAACGATCGTTTCGAGATACAACAAGAAATCAATCTCCAGGACATTGGTGCGCCATGTAGACTGTTTTAAGGGTCCGGCGATAACCCGGGTTATCGGGCTTGCCCCCCTCCCCCCCCTCAGGATAACCCAACCTTGCCGGTTGTGCAGGTCCTGGGTGGTGGGGCGCGGGCATATGCAGGGCTGCCCACAGCGCGAAGGTTAGGTTATCGGCCGGCCCCCTCCTCCTCCCCCCCCCGGGATAACCCGGGTTATCGCCGATTCCAAAAAACGGTCTCACTCTGGGTTGAAGCATTCTGCATTCTCCGTTCTCTCTCCAGGTGGAATCCCCAATGCCCCCGTCAGCAGCGTCCGCGCCTATAGAGGGCCCAGGCGGGTCCTGGAGCCCGGGATGGCGCCGGCCAGGCCCTCATTGCGAAAGGGAGCAACGAGGCAGCGAGGGACGGAGGACCATTCCCCAGGGGGCCCTGACGTCGATCCCCCCCTCGCACAAGGGCGCTCTCGAGGGCGCGAAGTTATTCGCGCTTCGCGCTTCGCGCTTCGGCTCCGATTCCTCCTCATCCTCCTCTTCTCCCATGGGAGGCGGCGCGAGAGTGCGAAGTTATTCGCACTTCGCGCTTCGCGCAGCGCGAAGCGCAAAGTTGGGAGCCCTTGTTTTCGATCGAGGGTCGAGGGTCATCCCTTACATCGCCCGCCTCCGGCGGACCCCTTTCTGCCTAGCCTACATGCGTCCCAACAGCCAGCCGACGATGATGACGATGCTGATGCTGATGCTGATGATGATGATGATGATGGTGATGATGATGATGATGATGATGATGATGATGATGATGATGATGCTTAGTATGACGATGATGATGCTGATGCTCGTGGTAATACTGGTGGTGAATGTGATGTTGATGATGGTGATGATGAGGATGATGATGACCATGCTGCTGAAGACGATGACGATGACGATGACGACGATGACAATGATGATGATGACGATGATGCTGATGCTGATGACGATGATGATGATGAAGATGATGATGCTCATGATGATGATGATGAGGAGGAGGTGGATGGTAATTACTGATGGTGGTGATGGTGATTCTGACGATGACGATGGTGATGATGATGCTGCTGCTGCTGATGATGATGATCATGATGTTGATGTTGATGCTGCTGACGATGATGATGATGATGATGATGATGATGATTATGATGGTGATCGTGATGATGCTTATGGTGATGATGAGTGTGGTTGTGATGGTGGTGGTGACGCTGCTGCTGCTGCTCCTGCTGCTGCTGACGACGACGATGATGCTGACGATGATGAAGATGCTGATGTTAATGGAGATGTTGTTTTTGATGCTGATACTGCTGCTGCTGATGACGACGACGATGATGATGATGATGATGATGATGATGATGATGATGATGATGATGATGCAGATGATGATGATGATGATGACGATGATGATGATGCTGATGATGATGATGATGATGATGATGATGATTATGATGATGATGATGATGATGATGATGATGATGATGATGATGATGATGATGATGATGATGATGATGATGATGATGATGATGATGATGATGATGATGATGATGATGATGATGATGATGATGATGATGATGATGATGATGATGATGATGATGATGATGATGATGATGATGATGATGATGATGATGATGATGATGATAATAATCACGGTGATGATTGGTGAGCACGGTAATGACTGTGATGATGAGGATGGTAATGATTGTGGTCATGAGTAGGAGGAGGAGGAGGAGGAGGAGGAGGAGGAGGAGGAGGAGGAGGAGGCGGGAGAGGAGGACCGGGAGGAGGAGGAGGAGGAGGAGGAGGAGGAGGAGGAGGAGGAGGAGGAGGAGGAGGACCGGGAGGAGGAGGACCGGGAGGAGGAGGAGGAGGAGGAGGAGGAGGAGGCGATGCCGCCGGTCATTAGTCGAATCTGCCACCAGCGCCAGCGTCAGAGGAGGAGGAGGAGGAGGAGGAGGAGGAGGAAGGAGGAGGAGGGAAGAGAGAGGCGGAAGAGGGAGGAGGCTGGCTGGGGTGGCCCATAGGGGGGGCGTTCGCATCCTCAGCCACAGATGCTTGTAGTGAGGCTGACCTGGCAGGAGAATGTCCCCGCGACGGAACATCCCCACACCGGCATCGTGGCCCCAGGCGGGTAGGTCCATGGCCACTTTTTGTGCCAGGAAAGCCCGCGATGGAGGGGGCAGCGGCCGTCAGGAGCGGGATGGGCCGGCAGATAGTGCGCATCTCAACTGCCGGGGCTCCGCCTTGTCCCCCAGTCCCTGCCATCAGAACAGCGTTTGCCAAGCACCACTGCAGACCAGCAGTCAGGGAGGGGGAACGAAGACCCTCCCTAGGGAATTAGAGGGGGCCTCCTGCCCAGCCCACCTGACCGTCGTCGCACCTCTTTGCCGCAGCGTCCCTGCTGCAGAAAGGCCCTGCGGAGGGAGGGAGGGAAAGACGGACGAGGGGCGAGCGGATGGGGTAGGATAGGAAGAAGTCCCCTCCCAACCCACCCCAGCGCCATACCCGCAACCTCCAGCAGAGGCCCTGCCTGCTCGAATAGGGCCCTGCCGCGAAAGAAGCGCAGCCGAGAGGGAGGGAGGATTAGAGAGAAAGAGAAGAGGGGGATTATGATGCTGATGATGCTGCTGATGATGATGATGATGCTGATGATGCTGCTGCTGATGATGATGATGGTGATGATGATGATGATGATGATGATGATGATGATGATGATGATGATGATGTAAGTGCTGATGATGCTGATGAGGACGATGATGATGGTGGTGGTGGTGGTGATGGGGATGGTGATGATAGAAACGATGCTGATTACTATTGTTATATGCGTACGGATGGTGATGGTGTTGACGATGCTGATAATGTGTAGGGTGATCTATTGTTGATGACAATGATGATGCATATGATTCTGCTTGTGACGATGCTGATGATGATGCTGCGCTGGTGGTGGTGGAGATGTTGATGGTCATGTTGATGCTGATGATGATGGTGGTGATAATGCTGTTGTTGCTGGTGATGATGATGATGCTTATGATTATGATGCTACTGCTGCTGATGTTGATGCTGTAGCTGCTGCTGATGATGATGAAGAGGACGATGACGAGGGTGTCGATGATGTTGGGGGTGATGATGGTGGTGACTGGGGATGGATATGATGATCATGGTCATGATTTTGCTGCTGCTGGTGATGATGCTGAGGATGATGATGACGATTGCGAATGTGTTGGCGACGACGATGATGATGCTGACGATGATGATGCTGATGATGATGATGCTGATGATGATGATGATGCTGATGGCGGTGATGATGATGGTGGTGCTGCTGCTGATGCTGCTGGTGGTGGTGCGGTTATTGCTGATGGTGATGAGGTTGATAATTTTGCTGATCACGATGATGGTGATGATGCTGATGATGCGGATGTTGCTGATGCTGGTGGTGATGATTGCGATGTTGTTGGTGACGATGCTGATGATGATTGTGATGATGGTGATACTGATGCTGATATGATGGTGGTGATGCTGATGCTGCCGATGATGATGATGATCCTGATGATGCTGCTGATGATGATGCCGCTGCTGATGATGCTGATGATGCTGATGATGATGATGATGAGGAGGAGGAGGAGGAGGAGGAGGAGGACGACGAGGACAAGGACGAACAGGGAAGAGGCTAAGGCGAACACGGGGTTCAGGAGATGGGGAGGAGGGAAGGAGGGAGGGAGGGAGGATGAGAGGGCGGGCTTGAGGGATGGAAGGAGGAGGAGGATGCGGAGCCAGGAGGAGGAGGATGCCAAGGAGGAAGAGGGTGATGAAGAGGAGGAGAAGGGGAGGGGGAGGAGGAGGATGCCAAGGAGGAAGAGGGTGATGAAGAGGAGGAGAAGGGGAGGGGGAGGAGGAGGAGAGGAGGAGGAGGAGGAGGAGGAGGAGAGGAGGAGGAGGAGGAGGAGGAGGAGGAGGAGGAGGAGAAGGAGTGGTGTGGTGGAGGAGGAGGTGTTGGAGGAGGAGTGAGGCGGGAGGAGGAGGAGGAGGAGGAGGAGGAGGAGGAGGAGGAGGAGGAGGAGGAGGAGGAGGAGGGGAGGAGGAGGAATGGATGAGGAGGGGTGGGGAATGGTGAGGGGGAGGAAGGAGGGGTGAGGTGAAGGAGAACGACGTCCTCCTCCTCCTCAGTTTTACGCCCGCCTCCGCCCCTCCATTCCCGTCGCCGGGTCGCGAGGCGGCCGCGTGCCAGCGGCTGATCGAGGCCCTCCGCGCGGCGGATCGACTCCTCGTCCTGCTCTTGGTCCTCCCGCTCCTCCTGCTCCTCCCTCTCTCCTCCCTCCCTCCATGTCCTCAGAGATGCTCGATGTCATGGGGACATCGCGTGCCGTCCTGCTCTTCATCTCGCTGGGTCCTGTCTCTCTCCCTGGCCGCTTTTCGTGTTCATGGGGATCGGCATGGTCTCCTTGATTTCTCATTGGCTTGGGGTCTCTGGCTGTTGATGTCAACCGCCCCCCGTTGATGCCAATCCTACTCACTCTTCCTCCTCCGCCGTTTCCTCCCTCCTCCCCTCCTCCTCCCCTCCTCATCCTCCTGCTCCTGCTCCTTCTCTTTCCTTCTTCTCACACTGCTCCAGGTCCCGATCCGATCCCTTACGCAGCATGGGCGACGAGCCCTGGTTCCTCCCAGATCCTCGACGTATGACCTCATGATGCAGATGTTCGAAACAGGCCAAGCTCCGAATCAGGTCAACGAATCGATGTGTGTCTTCTTGCCTAAATGTGACGAGCCCCAGGGCCAATGTGCAGTAATCCAGTCTCCAGGTGCCACCCGTCCTCCTTCACTAAAGCACTGTGACGCTAAGCTGATTGCGCATGTCGTAAACATCGCCCTGGTGGATATGGTTCGGGACCGTGGACCGCACAGCAGATACGCAGCAGGGATTCGTGAAGGGTCGGAACTTTGGCCAGCACACCATCTCGCTCGATTCTGAAGCCCGCAGGCTAGGCCACTCCCCAGATGCCTCTGATACCCTCCCAATGGTTGTCAGCTTTGGCACACAAAAAAATGCTTTCCCATCCTTAGGATGTGCTTTGATTGTTCAGCTCTCGCAGCTCACTGGGTCTCCCCAGGCTATCTTAGTGTCGTCGCAGCCCTATGTAGCTCCCCTCGTGACCTGGCCCGAGTAGGTGGCCGCCTTCAGTACATGTTTGAAATCGCCTCAGGAGTCCAACAAGGATACCCTCTCTCAGGCTCTATCTGGGCACTCGTGTTTGATTCCCCTCTAGGGCACCTATTAACTACCCGATGCACCCTTCCTGGATCCAACAGGTTCGGGGCCTGCGCAAACGATCTGGGCCTCGTCCTTGCTCGCCTGGGGGCCCTCCAGTACCTCCACCCCCCATTTCGGGCCATTGCAACTCTGGTAGGATTTGAGCTTCAGATTTAGACGACGGTGGTTGTGCCATTATGGGCAGCCTTTTCGCCAGCGGCTCAGTCCCTCACACAGCGTCTCCTCGGCTTTCTCACCCCCGACCTGCGGCACATACAGGTATCACAATATGCACGTTACCTCGGCGTTCTCATTGGCCCAGCGGTCACGCTGGACATACAGTGGAAAGCAGCCTTCGACACATACTGGCTGCGTGTTGTGCAGCCAGCGGCGTCCGCACCAGGACCATGACCAGCAGTGGCCATCAAGTTGTATGACACGTGCGTTATCACAGTCCCCCCCTAACCTCACCCAGCACCTCCCCTTGCCTGATGTCCTTCTCCGCCACGAGCGTGGCACGCTGCGCGAGATGCTGCGAGCCCCCCCAAACTCCGGGCGCCTCGTCGGCCTCCTCGGTGCTGGCTCGTGGTCGCACTCGTCCTCCCCTTTCGACGCTCGCCCCGCTGGCATTCGCCCCTGCACGGAGGGCAGCAGCCGCCACGCTCCTTGCATCGCCAACGCCGCTGCACGAGCTCTCCACGCGCGCAAGGCCATCGGAATCCAGCACTTTCTCCCTGGCGGCCGTCGCGGCGACCCCGCCTGCGGGCCACGGCTCCCCCAGTATTTTTTTGGCAGGGGAGAGGCATCGTAGAACACCGGCATCGCCTCGGCATTGGCACGCCACCACAGCACGTGCCATTACAGGAGTGGCAGGCCGCGCGACGAGCAGCCGAAGACGAGACGCCATTCGCAGCCCGTGCCCCGCGGCCGGCCGGGGTTCAGCGAGCTCTCTCCTCGGCCCTCCACCCCCCTATCTACCCCGGCACGTTCGCCGAAACCCTGACTCGCCGCTTGCACTCAGCTTGCCCGAGTTAAATCTCCACGACGATTTAAACCTGCGCTGGCAAGAGCTTGCCAGTCACCTGTCTAAGGAGGCCCCCAGCTCCTACGTTGGGCCGTGTACAAGACCCTAGCGGGAGCCTGGTGGACCAGCCACCGCTTCCCGCTCGGGCCCCGCAAGGCGTGCCTGCTCGATTGTGATTGCTCCGGCCAGTTCGGCCATTACCTCACCTGCCTTCGCCTCCTGCACTTCCTCGCTTTGCCCCGTGCCTTGTTGTCCTCCGACCCCCTTGTCCGCCTTGGCCTGGGGACGTCTGGGAAACACACAACGACCACGAGGACAACGACAACGACGAGCTAATGACCCTGCCGCAAGCTCGGGACACGCGGCGGGCAGTGGAGGGGAGGAGGCGAAGGAGGACGCGAAGGAGGAGGAGGATGGGGAGGGGGTGGGGGAGGAGGAGGAGGAGGAGGAGGAAGAGCGGAAGATGAGGAATAAGAAGAGTAGGAGGAGGAACAAGTGGAGTGTGATGATGGTAATGATGATGCTGATGATGACGATGAGGATGCTGATGACGATGATGATTATGCTGCTGATTATGATGGTGATGATGCTGCTGATGATGCTGTCGATTATCATGATGATGTTGTTGCTGATGATGATTATGGTACTGATGCTGATGATGCTGGTGATGATGATGCTGATGATGCTGATGTTGATGATGTTGATGCCGATGATGATGACGATGAATATGAAGATGATGATGCGGATGATGATGATGATGATGATGCTGAGGAGCAGGAGGAGGAGGAGAAGGAGGAGCAGGAGGAGGAGGAGAAGGAGGAGGAGAGCAGTGTGTCTCCTCGGGGGCGGGCGTCTGCGAGGCGACGGGGCCGCGGCCGAGGCCGCGGCCAGGGCCAGGGCTGGGGCCGGGGCTGGGGCCGGGGAAGAGGCCAGGGCAGGGGGGACAGGGACGGGGCTGGGGCCGGCGGGGCCCGAGGGGGCAGGGCTGGGGCTGGGGCCTTCGTGTGCCCCGAGTCGGGGCCAGTCTATTTCAGAGCTGCTGCTTCTCAAGCGCTGGCGCCGACTTTCGCCGCAGTCAGCGGCTCAGCAAGCAGCATTCGGGTTAGATTGGCTCTGGATCATTTGTCTGCCTGCATTCCACGTTTGAGTAATGTCGAGAATATCGATCCTTTCCTTCGAACCTTTGGACTTCCATCGGAATTAATTCGGCTTCATTGCCTGACACTCGTCGCAAGCATCGGCTATGTCCTGCTTCGAAGCAACGAATATGATCAAGGTGTCATCCGCATGCGTGCCCTTACCCAAGTCTTTCAGTTAATATTTCCCAACCATTTTGATGAGACAGCGCCCCTCGTCTCCTTCCACCCGCTGCCCCCCTCCCTGCTCCCATTCTTTATCTGCCCTCCGCATGTCCATTACGGCACACCCCTCACGTCTTTCGTGGCCCCACTGGGAGCTCCACCGACGGCCCCAGTGGTGTTTCTTGCATGCGTCCCCCGCGCCCGTTGCGGCACACCCCTCACGCGTTTCGTGGCCCCATAGGAAGCTCCACCGAAAGCCCCAGTGGTGTCTCTCGCATGCGTCCCCCGTGCCCATTTCGGCACACTACTCGCGCGTGTCGTGGCCCCATGGGGAGCTCCACGGAAGGCCCCAGTGGTGTCTCTCGCATGCGTCCCCCGCGCCCGCTCACACGTTTCGTGGCCCCAACGGGAGCTTCACCGAAGGCGCCAGTGGCGGTTTTGGCATGCGTCTCCCGTGCCCCTTTCGGCACACTCCTCGCACGTTTCGTGGCCCCAACGGGAGCTCCACCAAAGGCCCCAATGGCGTCTCTCGCATGCGTCCCCCGCACCCATGTACCTATGTCGTCGCACCCCTCGCAAACGTCAGCAACAAATCACATGTCTGCCTCGATGTAATGGACAGTCACCCCCTCGCGGTAGATTCCGGCCATTTGCGAGTAGTAGTTCTTTTGCGCATAGTGAAACGCATTTTTCCATTGGAGCTCCACCGAAGGCCCCACTGGCGGTCCTCGCATGCGTCCCCCGCACCCGTTGCGGCACACCTCTTTCGCGCTTCGTGGCCCCATAGGGAGCTCCATCGAAGGCCTCAGCAGCGGTTCTCGCATGCGCTCCCTGCACTCATTACGGCACACACCGCTCACACGTTTCCTGGCCCCAATGGGAGCTCTACCAAAGCTCCCAGTAGCGGTTCTCGCTTGCGTCCCCCGTGCCCATTTCGGCACACCGCTCACACGTTTCGTGGCCCCATTGGGAGCTCCCTGAAGGTCCCAGTGGTGGTTCTCGCATGCGTTCCCTCGCACCAATTCGGGCCCAACGCTCACACGTTTCGTGGTCCCATCCAGAGTTCCACCGAAGGCCCTAGCGGCGGTTCTCGCATGCGTCCCCCGTGCACGCTTCGGCACACCGCTCACACGTTACGTGGCCCCCTTGGGAGCCACCCGGAGGCCCTAGTGGCGGTCCTCGCATTTGTCCCCCGCACCCATTTCGGTACACCCCTCACACGTTTCATGGCCCCATAGGGGGTTCCAGCGAAGGCCCCAGTGGCAGTGCTCGCATGCATTCCCCGCGCCCATATCGGCACACTCCTCACAGGGCTCGTGGCCCCATAGGGAGCTCCACCGAAGACGAGACTCGCAACTGCGGTACTCAGAACTGCGTATGGCTGGGTCCTTCGCCAGGATAAGCTTGAACACTTGGGGCGAGCACATTGCCCGATTAAGATTTGCTGCATTCGCTGCTATTCTTACTCCATTGACAGATCTGTCTGCCTGTCGTTTGTCCGTGCGCAGCACTACGTACGTGCTCGACAGACAAGCGCGCAGCATAGCCTCGATCAGGTTCTACACCTGCCGCCTATGGCCAAGCATCGTATCGATAGCATAATGCAACCTTAACTTGCGGGAGCTGGTTCGGATTGACGGGGGGAAAGTTCACTGTCCAGCGGCTCTCGACATATTCTCCCATCACCTTGCCTGGGCCTGTGGGCGGAGGCGCAGTGCAAACGGTTGAGGGCCACCGCTTGCTCCCAGCCGCGCTTCTGCAGAGCCACCGCAGAGAGTTCCGGGAAACGCGCCTTGGAATGTCGGGATCTCCTGGGGCAGGGGCCTCCTCGGGGAGTGTGCTGTCGGCCTCTCGGGGACTCTGCGGCGCTTCGGGGGGATTCTGCTCGGGGCCTCGGAAGTCGACACAGGCACCAAGGTCCCGTGGCTCGAGCAACGACGTTTCATCACGAGGGACCTGTATTTCTCGGTGCCGACGCTGACTTTCTGCCCAACCATCTGGGGGGCCCCTCGGGGGCCTGCTCAGGGTCTCGATGCGATCTTTTGGGGGGACGGATGGGGCGGATTCCCACAGGGTGCTTCGTACCCATCTCCGGGGACCCCCTCGGGTGCCTTCTGGGGCGTCATGAGCGCTCTTGAGGTCAGCGCTGCGAGACCAGCGTGCCTTGTTGGGACATGCTGGCCTCTTGTGCCCGCCCCCAGCGCTCCCGAGGGCCGCCCAAGAGAAGCCCCAGATGTGTCCGTAACCATTTTGGCTCAAGACGCGTGCGTTCAAGCAGTCGGATCTGACCACGCCTCGCTTGGTCATCGTTATACATTCAGTCAGCGCCCAATTGGCGCCATACACTTTCACACTCATAGGGCAGGTGGCAGCTGTGGCCACGATGGTGAAACGTAACGTCCAGCAGTGCTCAACGGTATTTATCGCCTACATGCCTCTCCTGGTGTTTATCGCAGTGCTCTGTGCCGACGTTTTCGCGTTACGCTATAAGTTCATCACTCCGCTCAGCATGATCGGGGGTGCACAAGTTCAGGTCGAATTATTGATTTGGGTTGTTGTTGTGGCCTACTTCCTCGATGCTCACAATGCGAGAGTCATGGAACGAACCACTAAAGCGAAAAGGCATATTGCGACGACGCCAGTGATCGATAGTGTTGTTTCTGACGGCCAGCGCCAGGCCAGCCTTGAAGTCCCCACGGAACGAGTTCCACCCGAGAAACTATATGGTTGCCATGGCAGGTCGACCGAATCAGGCGATCTATCTGTGCATGAAGGCTGCCGACAGAGGTCCGACCTGTATATCATCAATTCCATGTTGGCAGATGGCGTGCCCTGCAAAACCTCCAAAGTTTTGGAAGTGATGCATAGTTGTATCCGGCTCGGACGTGGAGACGCAGCGGTGAAGTTGTTCGACCAGATGTTGCAGACAGGGGCCACCCCAAGAGCGCATCTCATTGGCAAGGCCGTATCACACAAATTCTTCAAGCTCGTCGCCGAAACTCTCGATGACAAACGCATTCAGGAAGACGGAGTACGGCTTCTCGAACTTGGTAGAGCACATGGGATCGCACCGTCGCCTGCGACCCAGAATCGCTTGCTTGATGCGTGGAAGAACCAGCTTCCCGATTTCGTCTTGAGGTATTTCCTCGAGATGAAGGACGCAGGAGTCATCCTCAGCAGATGGGCGTATCGCTACATTGTGGTGGCCCACGAGCGGTCCGATCCATCACTCGCACTAAAGGTTTACAGTGAGATGGAGGTGTTAGGAATTCAGCTCGACCGGGCGGCGTACAATGCTGTGCTGGGTGCTCGCTTCCAGCTTGGCATGCTCGACGAGGCCCGAGAGTTGTTCCTGCGGATGGCTGACAGTTCACTGGTGCCCAATGAGAAGACGTATGGAGTCATGATTAAAGTCTATTTGGCCAGTAACAGTCTCGAGGAGGCCATCGCCCTCTTCGAGACGATGCAGGAGCAGGGCTTGGATCCCGATCGGTATGCCTACCATCACGCAATCCGTGCGAGCATCGCGCTGCAGCGCGTCGAATACGCCGTGGGCTTGTACAACGACATGGTGGAGAAGAAGGTGCCACCCCTCATGAGCACCATTGCTCTTCTGAGCGGAGTGTGCGCGGGTGCGGGCTGGAACGCTCTTGCCGTCGAGCTCATGACGCACATGGCGCGTGCGAAGAAGGCGGATGCCGCGCACGGGCTTCAGACGTAAGCGTGCGATCCGGGGCAATGCCCCAGATGCACAGTTGCAGGTCGCCCCAATCTGACGGACGGCATTTGCAGTCACGGGGCCGCGAGCTGTTGTCGCTTTGGCCAGGTGGCCTTCTCTCTTGGTGACCGTCGATTTCACCCCTGCGCCCCCTGCTCACGGCCCGCCGGCAGGGAGGACTGTGCCTTAATTCTGCCACCTTTGCCCCCTTCCCGTCCCCCCTCCTCCTACCTCCTGAATTCCAATGCATGAGCACTTCGCACTTTTGCATTTCGCTTTTGAGCAATACGCACGATGAAGCATGGCAACAAAAAGACGCCCCAAATGGGGTCTCCGCACCCGTTTCTGAGGTGTTCGATCATGGTCCCCTTCTTGAGCGCAGCCCTCCAGCTTTTGCGCCGACGACCGCCAGAAGCCGCCGAAGACCGCTGGACACCGCCGAAGACCACCGAAGACCGCCGAAGACCGCCAGTAGACCGTCCGAAGACCGCCGAAGACCGTCGACGACCGCCGAAGACGGCCCACGGCCGACGGGCAGCAATGGGTCCGTGTTCGAATGCGTAGCGCGAGCTGAGACAACGGTAGATGGCTTTCTGGGGGGGGCCTCTTCGTCGCCGTGGCTGTACGCAGCTCGGAAAACTGGTGCGTTTGTCCGAGGCGGGATCGAGAATCTCGGCAGGCGGTGGATATGGACACATTCAGACCCCCAGGGGGCCAAAATATGTCCACATCCACCGCCCGCTGGGGCACCAGGACGTCGGCTCCCAGGCGGTGGGTACGGATCCGGTGTGGGCGTTCGTTAAGGAATGTTCCCAGGAGGCTGCAGACCCTGGAGGGTTTCTTATCTGATGAGGGCGGTGGTGATATCCATGGCCAATCCACGATTGGAGTTCCACCGGCTTCCAGACTCTGGATTCCTTATCCTATGCTTCCTTATCCAATGCCCCCACCGTAAATCCCCGCCTCGCAGTTTGGGCCCAGCGAGGGGTCCAGGGACAAGCTTTGAGCTGCCGCTGTCTAGGCTCGCCCTGCTCCGACTCCGGGGCCCGAGGAGCCTCTGGCGTGACGCCTCCGCGCCGACAGAGGAGGAGGAGGAGGAGGAGGAGGAGGAGGAGGAGGAGGAGGAGGAGGGAGGAGGAGGAGGAGGAGGAGGAGGAGGAGGAGGAGGAGGAGGAGGAGGAGGAGAACGAGGAGGAGAACGAGGAGGGGGAGGAGAACAAGGAGGAGGAGGAGGAGGACGAGGAGGGGCCGACGAGAGCGTGCGGCCCATCCTCGGTGGTCATCGGCGGGCGTGTGCAGCGGTGCAGTGGATGCCTCTCTGCGTTGCCGAGCCGCCCCCCCGCGCTGCCCCCGCGCTGCCCCGGCCCAGCGTTTGGCTCCCCCGCCCACCCTCGGCGAGGTCTCCGAGGAGGGAAGCATCTCGATCAAGCAGTGGCGAAGCGTCCTGGCTCGCCTGCTAGCCTTGAGTCGGGCCTGTCCCTCTAGAGGGGGAGTGTTCCAAAATATTTACAAAAATTGTCTGGGGACATTTTTTATTTCAACAATACTATTTTTGAGTATGTTTTATCTTATGTCGAAAGTTCCCCTGTAGGGGGACACACCCGACTTAACTATAGCCCTACCAAACAATGTTCTAAGAACCTTTTGTGGTTCCCACGAAGTGTTCTTAGAACCTTTCTGGCCGGGGCTGTCTTGGTTTAAGACATCGGGCCTATGCTCTAAGAACATGGGTGTTGTTCTTAGAACACTTTTGGTTTTCTAAGAACATTTCGTGGTAGGACTACAGGAATACCGGGACGGTCGGCCCCTGCTCAATTCGAGGGCCCGCGCGGATTTCTGGGATTTTCGCTGGACCCCCCTCCCTGGGGCCCGGGCGGCGTTGGAGGCGCCGCCCGGGCGGAGGGAGGGGGCAGCGCGGGGTCAAGAAGTCCGCGCGGGCACTCGAGAATGATGTATTTGTTTGTAGCGTGCCGGCCTCTGGCCAGTGTCGCCGATCCGGGGCGCTCCGGGTGATGATGATGATGATGATGATGATGAGGAGGAGGAGGAGGAGGAGGAGGAGGAGGACTTGGAGGAGGAGGAGGAGGAGGAGGAGGAGGAGGATGAGGAGGATGATGATGGTGATGATGGTGGTGGTGGTGGTGATGGTGATGGTGATGATGTTGATGATGGTTATGATGATGATTATGATGCTGATGATGATGCTGATGCTGATGATGATGCTGCTGATGATGATGCTGATGATGCTGCTGCTGCTGCTGATGATGATGATGATGATGATGCTTATGTTCATCATGGTAATGGCCATGGGGCCATTTTGGGCGTCTTGGACCGACCGTTCAGTGATTGGGGGCTTTCGTGGGCCGTCTTGACGGCCTCTTGGGGCCCTGTTGGCCCGTCTTGGGCCTCTCTTGGGCTCGAACAAGTCATGCGGGAACATTCTGGGAGCCCCAGAGGGCGTGCGGGTCCATTAAGCAACCTCAGGCTTGAGGACTGAGGCTCAGGGGATTGAGCAAGGGAGCGGGGGAAGCCTCTTGGGGGTCTTTCTGGGGCCTCTTGGGGCCTCTTTCGGGCCTCTTGGGGGCCTTCTGGGGCCTCCTGAGGGCTTCTTTGGGCCCTTTGGCCCCCCCCGCCCCCGAGCATTAAATGCGTCTGGAATGGCGTCCCCCCCCCCCTTCCAGAGCCTCCTGGGGGCTTCTTGGGGGCCTGTGGCCCCCCCCGCCCCCGAGCACTAATGCGTTGGGAATGGCGCCCTCCCCCCCCCTTGCAGAGCGAAGCTTAAGCGAGCCCAAGTCCACGCTCTCAGAAACACACGCCGGATCGGCTGATGTTTCTTCTTCGTCTTATCATTATTATTACTAATATTAATATTACTCTTCTCCTTATTATTATTCTTATTGCTAGTATAATACGTATTCGTATTATTATTAATAATATTAGTATCATTATTGTTAGTAGTAGTAGTAGTAGTAGTAGTAGTAGTAGTAGTAGTAGTAGTAGGAGTAGTAGGAGTAGTAGTAGTAGTAGTAGTAGTAGTAGTAGTAGTAGTAGTAGTAGTAGTAGTAGTAGTAGTAGTATGAGTATTTTTATTATTATTATTGCCATTGTTCGTTTTAGTATCCTTCGCATTATTATTATTATGATTCTTAGTCTGGTTTGCATTCTCATTTATATTATTCCTATTACCCTTCTGATCCGTAAGGGCGTCGCCCCGCTGCCAGCCCCTTCTCTATCATAATGGCATATCTCAGAGTCGCGTCGGTGCGTCTCGGCGCTGGCTTGGCGCATCTGGGAACATCTTGCGGGGGCGGATAGGAACCATCAGCGCATATTCAGACGTCGGCGTTATCGAAGACGCCTGCGGCGAATCACCGCCGCCCCCTGCCTTTTGAAATCTCCCATGTGACCGAGCGTTGCGGCAAGAGCTCTGCCAAGCTATCGGACCGTGGGTTCACCCAAACGTTGTGGAAACCCTTTGGGGAACACTTTGGGGAGGATGGCGGGGAAAATCAGGAGGAGGAGGACCAGTGTAAACCCAAGAGTCATCAACGATGTTGGAGTAAACCCTCCCTCCAAGCTCCCTCTCCACAGGCCCCTACAACGGTTCATTTCCATTGATTGAACTGATTCGTTGGAAGACACCCGTTCGAAGACCATGAAACATACCAACATACGGTTCTCGGGATTCCAACGCCACGGATCAACCTAACTGTTGCGTCTTGAGGATCCGGAATCGTGCCAGAACGCCATTCCTGTGATTTCAACACAGAGAATCAGCGTAATTGTTGCACCCGCAGGGTCCTGAATTCTTCCAAACATTGTTTCTGGTACGTTGATGATGGAAATCCATGAAACACTTGCAATGGTTAAGACGAATGTGCGCGGCGCTAAGGCGAGAGCCACATTTCGAAAAGAAACCACCCTCAATCCGTGAAGCTCTTGCATATGTTTAAAATGTGCGCCGCGCTAAGGCGGGAGCCACATCTTGAAAACCACCCGCCCTCAATCCGTGAAGATCTAGCAAATGTTTAAAGACATGTGCGCCGCGCTAAGGCGAGAGCCACATTTTGAAAGCCACCCGCCCTCAATCCGTGAAGCTCTTGCATCTGCTTGAAGCAAATGTGCGCCGCGCTAAGGCGAGAGAAACATATTGACAACCACCCGCCCTCAATCCGTGAAACCTTTCTGCAAATAGTTAAAAAGAATGTGCGCCGCGCTGCAGCGAGAGCCGCATGTGAAAACGACCCGCCCTCCAGCTGTTTCCAATTCTTAAGCTTCAGAGTCATAAGTGGTGAGGAGGTCTAAGGCGAAACGCCCGGTCCGCCCTCAAACCTGGCCTCGAGGTGCGACAGGGAACATATGTTCTGAAGGAGCAGGAATGGAGGACGAGGAGGCGGTGGAGGAGGAGGAGGAGGAGGTGGAGGAAGAGGATGATGATGATGAGGAGGAGGAGGAGAAGGCGGAGGCGGAGGCGGAGGAGGAGGAGGAGAAGGAGGCGGAGGAGGAGAAGGAGGAGGAGGCGGAGGCGGAGGCGGAGGCGGAGGCGGAGGCGGAGGCGGAGGCGGAGGCGGTGGCGGAGGCGGAGGCGGAGGCGGAGGAGGAGGAGGAGGAGGAGGAGGAGGAGGCGGAGGAGGAGGAGGGGGCATCTTGGGAGCTTCTGGGAGCACTTTTGGGGCCTCCTGGCAGCTTCCTGGGAGCCTCTGGGAGGCATCTTGGGAGCCTCTCTGGGCCTCTGGGGAGCCATTGGGGGCTTTTTGAGGGCCTCTTCGGCCGTATCAGGGCAGTCCTGGCCCGTCTGACGCCGTCGGAAGCCGTCTTCGGGGCCTCTCTGGGCCGACTTGGGACCCTCTTGGGGTGTTCCAGGGCCGTCTTGGAGGCCATCTTGGGTTCTTGAAGGCCTCCTAGGCCGTCTTAGGGCCCTCTTGGGCCGTCTTTGGGGTCTTTGGGCCGTTCTGGGGCCATCCTGGAGGCCTCTTGGGCGATCTTTCGGGGCTCTTGGGCCGTTTCGGGCCGTCGGAGGATTGAAGAGAAGCAACTGCCAAAGTCCTTCAAATACGTAAGGGACATCAATGATGTTGGTTTCTTCGGTTCTTCCTGGAGGCCCCTCTGGAGGCTTCTTGGGCCGTCTAGGAGACCTCTTGGGGGCCTCTTGGGCCGTCATGGTACATTTTAGAGCCATCTTGGGCTGTCTTGGTGGGCTACTGGCCCGTCTGACGCCGTCGGAAGCCGTCTTGGGGCCTCTCTGGGCAGGCTTGGGGCCCTCTTGGGGTGCTCCAGGGCCGTGTTGGAGGCCATCTTGGGTGTCTTTGATGCCTCTTGGGCCGTCTTTGGGGCCTCTTGGGCCATTCTGGGGCCATCCTGCAGGCCTTTCGGGCGATCTTTTGCGGCTCTTGGGCCGTCTCGGGCCGTCGGAAGGCCGAAAAGAAGCAAATGCCAAAACCTTTCAAACCCCCAAAGGGAATCAATGATTTTGGCATCTTGAGGGTTTCTGGATGCCCTTGTGGAGACCTCTTGGGCCGTCTTGGAGACCTCTTGGGGGCCTCTTGGGCCGTCTTGGGCCGTCTTAGAGCCATCTTAGGCTGTCTTGGTGGGCCACTGGCCCGTCTGACGCCGTCGGAATGGGGCCTCTCTCTTGGGGTGCTTCAGGGCCGTCTTGGAGGCCATTTTGGGCGTCTTGGAAGAGGCCTCTTAGGCCGTCTTTGGGTCCTTCTGGGGCCGTCTTGGGGGCCTCTTAGGCCGTTCTGGGGCCATCTTGGAGGCCTCTTGGGTGATCTTGGGGCGATCTTTGGGGGCTATTGGGCCGTCTCGGGCCGTCAGAAGGCCGAAAATAAGCAAATGCAAACATCCTTTAAACACCTTTTTGGAAAGTCAATGATGTTTGGCCTCTACGGGCCTTCCTGGCTGGAGGACCTCAGGGAGGCCTCTAAGGCCGTCTTGGAGACCTCTTGGGGGCCTCTTTGGCCATCTTGGAGACTTCGTGGGCCGACTTGCAGGCATCTTGGACCCTTCTGGGCCGTCGTGGATGCCGCCTTGGACCATATTGGGAGAACTTGGAGGCCGCCGTCTTGGAGGCCGTCTAGGGCCATCTTGGAGTGGCAAAGGCATTGACCCGAAGTTTTTGTGTGGATGTAGAGGTCGTTTCGGGGCCTTGTGCGCCCTTCCAGGTGGCCTGCGGGCGGGGCCAGAGCCCCATGGGGAGTCCTTTCTGGAACAGAACGAAAACCCAAAAAGGCAGCGTGTAGCACGCCGGGCACCTCTGTGACAAGCACAGGGGGCGGCCGATCGAAGACGCCTACGGCGAATCACCGCCGCCCCCTGCCTTCTAGAATTGCCCATGTGGCCGAGCGTTGTGGCAGGAGCTCTGCCAAGCTATCGGACCATGTGTTCCCCCAACCGTTGTGGAAACCCTTCGGGGAACACTTGTGGGAGGATGGCGGGGAAGATCAGGAGGAGGCGGAGGAGGAGATGGAGGAGGAGGAGGAGGAGGAGGAGGAGGAGGAGGAGGAGGAGGAGGAGGAGGAGGAAGAGGAGGAGGAGGAGGAGGAGGAGGAGGAGGAGGAGGAGAGGAGGGAGGAGGAGGAGGAGGGGGCATCTTGAGGGCCTCTGGGGGCACCCTTGGGGCCTCCTGGGAGCATCCTGGGAGCCCTTTGGAGGCATCTTGTGGGCCTCCTTGGGCCTCTTGGAGGCCTTCTGCGGCTTTTGGGGGGCCTCTTTGGCCGTCTCGGTGGGGGCTCCTGGCCCGTCTGATGCCGTCGGAAGCTGGCCGTCTTGGGGGCCTCTTTGGGCCGACTTGGGGCCCTCTTGGGGTGCTCCAGGGCTGTCTTGGAGGCCATCTTAGGCGTCTTGGAGGCCTGTTGGGCCGTCTTAGGGGCCCTCTCTGGGATGTCTCGGGTACCTCTGGGGCCGTTCTGGGGCCATCTTGGAGGCCTCTTGGGCGATCTCTGGGCGATCTTTGGGGGCTCTTGGGCCGTCTCGGGCCGTCGGAAGGCCGACAAGAAGCAAATGCAAACATCCTTCCAAATCCTTAGGGCAATCAGTGATTTTGGCCTCTGCGGGCCTTCCTGGAGGCGCTCTTGGATGCCTCTTGGGCCGTGTTTGGCCATCTTAGGGCCATCTTCGGCCATCTTGGTGGGCTCCATGCCCTTCTGACGCCGTCGGAAGCCGTTTTGGCGGCCTCTTGGGGCCCTCTTGGAATGCTCCAGGGCCGTATTGGAGCCTTTCTTGAGCGTGTTAGAGGCCTGTTGGGCCGTCTTGGGCCTTCTTGGGGCCGTCTCGGGGGCCTCCGGGGCCGTTCTGGGGCCATCTTGGAGGTCTCTTGGGCGATCTCTGTGCGATCTTTGGGAGCTCTTGGGCCATCTCGGGGCCGTCGGAAGGCCGAAAATAAGAAAATGCCACAATCCTTCAAAACCATAGGACTTCCTGGAGGCCTCCTTGGAGGCTTCTTGGGCCGTCTTGGGTCATCTTAGAGCCATCCTCGGCCGTCTTGGTGGGCTTCTGGCCCGGCTGACGCCGTCAGAAGCCGTCTTGAGGGCCTCTCTGGGCCGACTTGGGGCCCTCTTGGGGTGCTCCAGAGCCGTCTCGGAGGCTTCCTGGGGCTTCTTAGAGGCCTGTTGGGTTGTCTTTGGGTCCTTCTGGGGCCGTCTTGGGGGCCTCTTGGGCAGTCCTGCGGCCATCTTGGAGGCCTCTTGGGCGCTCTGTGGGCGACCTTGGGGGCCTCTTGGGCCGTCTTGGGCGTCGGAAGGCCGAAAAAGAGCACATACGAGAATCCTTCAAAGCTTAAGGCAAATCAGTGATGCTAGCCTCTTCGGCCTTCCTGGAGGACCTCTGGCTCACAGTGAGCGCGCGTTAGTATACTGGTAAAGGACAAGAGCCGTTGTTACTCATGGTATTGCCGCCATGTCTTCCCTCTTTATACGTTGCCACTGGCAATTCTAGTCTCATCCATCCTTCCTCCTTCTTGACTGATGAAGAAGCTGGGGCCCCGCAAACATCGACCGTTGCAAGCACGGCTGCGGATCCAGGGACCAGACACCCTTACGGCTGTGTAGGAAGACGGTCGTATTTTGCCCTCCCCGTCTCATTCAAGCTTGGACATGTTTGGCTGCTTTTGGGAGTCTGTCTCTCTTGGGACATTGGCGTTCGGTGGTATTGGCCATCTGTGGTCCTCCCTGTCCTGTGGCTAGCGCCGCTCCGATCGCAATGCTTTTTTTTTGCGGGATTCGCGAGCCCCGCGCCCCAGCTGAATTCAGGGACCCACCGCCCTCGAGGCTGTGCAAGCTGGCGTCATCCTGCCGCCCCCCCCCCCTCCCGCGCTTCCCAGCTTCGGAATGCATGACTGCCCTTTGGATCGTCCTTCTCGTGGTCCTTGGGCAGTCGGTGGTCTGGGCGCTCCGCTGTGCATTATGATGCTCGTTGTCCTGGTGCTGACGCGTCGAGAATGGTGAGAGCGATTCGCAAGACCAGGCGCCCGCCCCCCTTCCGACCCCACGCAGGCTCAGAAGCTGAAGCTCGCCTCCCTCTTTTGCCCGGCGCAGGACCCTCCCCTTAAGATGAGGAGGAACAACAGGGATATGCGAGAAAAAGAGAGAAAGAGAGAGAGAGAGAGAGACAGAGAGAGAGGAAAGCCGCGCCCGGAAGGCGTATCGGCAACACCAGACAGATGGGAGGAGGAGGGGGATGAAGAGGAAGAGGAAGAGGCGGGGATCCGTGGATGCAGGATCGGGTGTTCGCTTCCTCCACTAGGACTCTAGGCTTCAGGGCGCAGGATTAGGAAGGGACTCCTCCTCCTCCTCCTCCCGGGATCGTACCGGGGAGGTTGTTTCTGTTGTTTGGCAGTGGGGTTGGTCGTGGGTTTCCCTGCGGGACGCGCCGTTGCACGTTACGTGGGAAGATGGGAAGGGGGGCGAGGAGGAAGAAGGGAGGAGCGGGAAGAGGAGAAGGAGGAGGATGAGGAGGAGGAGGAGGACGACGACGACTCGCAACATAACGAAATGAGGGGGAGGAGGAGGATGAGGAGAAGGAGGAGGCGGAGGAGGAGGAGGAGGAGGAGGAGGGCGACGACGAAGAGGACGAGGAGGTGGGGAGGAGGGGGTGGAGGCGGACCAGTGCAGACCCAAGAGTCATCAACGATGTTGTGATAATCAAACCCTCCCTCCAAGCTCCCTCCTCACATGTGCAGGCCCCTACAAGGGTTCATTACCACTGCCGGGGGTGCCCCATTGGGAGAGAACAGTTTGAAGATCCTCCTTTGTGCCAAAACACCGTTCTCGGGACTCCAACGCCACGAATTAACTGGACTTAACTGGACTCTTGCGTCTTTACGATCCTGACTCGTGCCAGAACGCAGTTCCTGGGACTTCAGCACCGCGAGTCAACGGAACTGTCGCGGCCTGGCAATCCTTCGTGGCTCCAAGACATGATCCCCGGTACGTTCATCACGGGGGTCCGTGGAGCTGTTTCCAATGTTTAAGACGAGTGCGCGTGGCGCTGAGGCGAGAGCCACATTTTGAAAAGGAGCCGCCCTCAATCCGTGAAGCCCTTTCGATGTTTGAAAAGGACTGTGCGCGGCGCTCGAGCGAGAGCCACATTTCGAAGACCCCCCCCAATCCGCGAAGCTCTTGGATTGGTTTACGCCGAATGCGCGCAGCGCGAAGGCGAGAGCCACATCTTGAAAGCGACCCGTGCTCACTTCGCGAAGCTCTTGCAATTTTGTGTAACGAACGCGCGCGGCGCTAAGGTGAGAGCCGCACGTTGGAAACGATCCGCCCTCAATACGTGAAGCTCCTGCTTGTCTCCAACAATGTGCGCGGCGCTGAGGCGAGAGCCAGTTGTATTGGAAGCGGCCCGCCCTCCACCTGTGAAGTGGTCGCAATCTCTCGAGCGCCAGGATCCAACATGGTGAGGAAGTCTCAGGCGAAAGGGCGCGCCCGTCCTTCCGACTAACCTCGGGATGCGACAGGGAGGAGGTAATTATAAGGACAAGAAAGGGAGGAGAGGGGGAAGGGGAGAGGGAGGAGGAAGGGCAGGGGGAGGAGGAAGAGGAGGAGGAGGAGGAGGAGGAAGAGGAGGAGGAGGAGGAGGACGAGGAGGAGGAGGAGGAGGAGGAGGAGGAAGAAGAAGAGGAGCAGCTGAGGAGGATGAGGACTCCGGTACACACAACTGGTGCCGCAAGTCCAGTTCTCATAGGTCGACGCAAGACGTCCCTTCCACTGCGGCGAGCCCCCGCTGCACAGGCGAAGGCCCCCTGATGCTGCGTATCGTCACGTCCCGAGTTCCTCTGGGCTTGGGCTCCCGCCGCGCAGCGCCTTTCAGCGCAATGAGTACACGCTAGTCTTCGAGAGTTCTTTGATTTTTTTGGGGGGGCGGCAAGATGCTTTCATTTCTAAGTGTTCTATCCTGGGCCCCCTCTTGGCCACCAGGGGGCCAGGAACAGTTAGACACGAGCACGATTAGAAGTGAGCACGATTAGAAGTGAACGACGTGTGCGATACGGAACACGCAGCCCTCCATGCACGGGTCTGGCAGAAGCCTTGTGGAGCGCGTGCGCGCTGCGAGAGGGACTGCTCGATCTTAGAACACGAACGCGGCTCGGGCGGCAGAGCCAGCCCCCAGGGATGGGGTCTATAGGCCTCCTTGGAGGGCCACGCTGTGGAGAGATGCCGACGTCGGAGATCTGGGGCTGGGCGGAGCCCGTGTCCGCATGTCCACGGCCTCGCGGCCCGGCCTCCCCGGCCTGCGACCCCGCGGACGTGGGGCAGCCTCGCGCGGAACCCCAGCAGCCGACCGCGCACCCGCGGGATCGCGCAACCACGAGACCGCGCCTCGGCGTCCAGTCCGTGAGGCCGTGGGCGTGGACACGTATGCCTCTGGTGGGGTCCGCTCAGGTTCGGTCCCCGGAACCCCCCCAGGCGTCCACCCGGGCCAGTTTCGGCGGCGAGCCCAGAGGGGAAGCGAGGGGGAGCGGGGCTTCTCAGAAGGCCCAGGAGGCCTCAAGACCTTCGGAGAAGCTTTCTGAGTTTTCTTTCAAGACAGAGACGGCCCCCTCGAAGAACCGCCGGCAGTTCTCCATCCCAGATTGATTTTCGGCGGCCCCGCGGGCCCAGAAGCGGCCCCACGAGCGCCGCAAGAGACGCCCCAAACCCTTTGTCTCGACCTCGAGACATGCCGGTCGCTTCGCTCGTGAGCAGGAGCGGTGTCTGAGGAAGGAGATGTCTCGAGCTGGAGGCAGGAGATGTCTCGAGCGGGGCAGCGGGACCACGCCACACGAAGGGCCCTCCCCCGGTTCCTCGCGCTGGCGTTGGCGTCGTCGCTCTTCCTCGTCCCCCGCGGTGGCGGCAGCGGCAGCGGGACGAGACGAGAGGAATCCTGCGCCCACCAGCGGGCGTCCGTCTCCTCGGCCTCCGAGCGAGGTTCGGGCCCCGGCTGCGGCCGCCGCCGCCGTCGTCGCCGCCGCCGCCGCTGCCGCCGGTTGTTGCCGTCGCGTCGGCGTCGTCGTCATCGCGCCGCCGAACATTGGTGTGTTATGTAGTTGTTGTTTGCTCCTCGATCTCCCGTCCTCCCCTCGTCGTCTTCGCCCTCGTCGTCGTCCTCGTCCTCCTCCCTCGTAGGTTGCTCAACCCATCTGCGGACAGGGCAGCATCTTGCCACAGGTAAGCCACCGGGGTCCGCTGCAGGTTTCAAAAGGTCCCTTGAACATCGTATGAGCAGGAACTTCGGCTCCGGCGAATCCCAGTGCGTACGAGCAGGAATTTTGGATCCCAGGCAACCGCCTCCCACAGACCCCCGACGCCACGACTTGTTCACAACATCGACGCGCAGAGGTCGACACACTTCCCGGGACCGGCGTCCCCACCCCGAGCCGCTGCTTGTCGGCCCACGGCGAGGGCTCCCCGAGGCCGAGAACATGTGGCGGCACGCTGTCCGTCGTGCCTGTGCGCGGCGCGCGGGGATCCGGGCCCTGCGCCCCCCCTTGCACTCCGCGCTGGCTCGAGGCTCTCGGGCGGCAGGCCGTCTCACTCTGCGCCCCGCCGACAGGACTCAAGCAGTGGCGAGGCGTCCTGGCTCGCCTGTAGCCCTACCAAGCAGAATTCTAAGAACCTTTTTGTGGTTTCCACGCCATGTTCTTGGAACATCTCTGGCGGAATCTGTCTTGTTTTATCGCATCGGGTTTATGTTCTAAGAACACTGTTTCTGTTATAAGAACATTTTTGGCTTCTAAGAACATTTCGTGGTGGGACTATAGGAATGCCGGGAGGGTCGGTCCCTGCTCAAGACGCGGAGCCGAATGGCCGCCGGCGCGAGGTTCCTGGCCAGCGCCACGCTGCTCCTCCTGGCGGCCGCGCAGGTCAACATCTTTGGCTGCCGGGGGGCTTCTGTGGGGCACCCCAGACCTCCTCGCGTCGTGGCAGAAACTGCGACGGACGGGCTCCGGATGCTTTCTGGCCTCCATTTGGGCCCCCGCCGGGCCCCAGGACCGCCAGGGTCGAGACCTGGGTGTCGCTGCTGTGAAGGCTCATGGCGTGGGAGGTCTGGGTGTAAGCCTGCACCTGCGCCGGCCGAGGCCAGGCCAATCCTGGGCCCAGGGGCTGGTGTGCACGCACGCCCCTGCCAAGCCAGCAGTGGCGTGTGCGCCGATGCGGGTCCCAGGATGGGGCTGGCAAGGAGCGGTGCAGGTGTATCGTTGGCGTCCTCCCGAGGCTGCGAGTTTGAGGCAGCGTGCGCAGATGACCCGGGGGAGCCAAGGAACTGCACGAGCGAGAGCTTCTGGAGGTCCGCGCGGATTTCTCTGGTCGGCGTCGAACCCCCCTCTCCACGCCCCCTCCCTGGTGTGCGATGCACGTCAGAGGCGGCACCAGAAGCGTCGCCCAAGGGGGGCCCAGAGCGTACCCAAGGGATCCGCGAGGGCCCCAGATGCTTGTTAGTTCACGCTTGTGCGGCTTGTGCTTCGGCTCTCCAGAGGACGGCGGACTGTCCTGCGCGGACGGCTTGTCGTGCTACCAGCTCCTGACGAGCAGCATTGACGGCACTCAAAGAAGAAACAGCTATCGCAGACGCAACTTTCTGAGTTCCGCGCTGATTTCTTGGATCGGCGCTGTCGGCGCCCCCCGCGCCGCCCCTGTCGCGCTCCGGGCGCCAGGGAGGGGGTCCAGTGCCGATCCAACAAAGCCGTGCGGTCTTCTGGTAGATTATGCTGATGCTGTATTCCCCAACCATTTGGTGTTAGGTACTCGTTTTGAAGAGACAGCGTCTTCTCCCACCCCAATTCCCTTCCTCTCCTCGCATTCGTGCCTCTGCCCTCCGCATGACCATTTCGGCACACCCCTCACACTAGGAGCTCCACCGAAGTCCTCAGTGGCAGGGTTCACTTGCTGGCGCCGCCCCAATCTCGGCGCACCGCTCATACGCTTCACATCATAGCTTACACCGCATAGCATACACCGCACAGTTTTCACTTCCATCGCTCACGCTACATAGCTTACACGACATGTTTCTAATCACACAGCTTAGTACCGTATAATTCTCACCTCCACAGTGCAATCACTCTCTGTTCGGGGTCCACGCTGGCAAACACTGACAAGGAAAAGGGATTAATGAGGAAGAGGAGCAGGAGGAGGAGGAGGTGGAGGAGGAGGAGGAGGAGGAGGAGGAGGAAGAGTAGAAGGAGGAGGAGGAGCAGCAGGAGCAGGAATGGGAGGGGAAGGATCAGTTTGTGTCTATGTTGTTTTTCTTCTTTCAGGCATTCTGCGCCCGGAGTCCACGGACCCAGAATCAGTCCTACCCCCCGGCAAGACGGTGTGCGGCGTGTCGGCGGCCGCGGTCATCAAGTCGTGCCCCGCCTGCGACGCCTGCGTGCTGCCCGAGCCGGTCCTCCGCAGCCTGAGGTTTGTGGTCAAAAATCGGGCCGAACGAAAGGGGGGGGGATAGGGAGAGGGGGGGGTGCGAAATCTGCTGCATGCAGCTGGTTTCGGCCCCGCCACCGGGTCCATTCCTCGATACATGGGCGCCTCCCGGCGCCGGGAGGCGCTGGGAAAGTCAGCTACGTGAGCTGATCCTAGCTCTACCCTACCCTTTGCTATCCCCCCTTTCGTTCCCCCCGAAAGAGGAGGGTCTGGCCAGCGCTCGGGCCGCTCGGGAGGCCGAAGCACTGAGCTGATCGGAGTCGCTGTGGCTCCGAGAAGCGGCAGTTCCGCGGCTGATTGGTCGGGTCAGTCGTGGGCGAAGAGGCCATCTCAACCGCTGGGCTGAGGGAACTGCCCCTACATATCGGGGAAACGTAAGACTCGAGTAAGCCGGAAATCGGGTTAGCCGACGTTTTTTTGACGAGCGCGTTCTGGAGAATGACGGTCCAGTTTTCGTGGGACGTTTGCAGCGAGAGGTCGCGTCAAATTTCAGATTGGGTCTCGTCATTTTTACGATGGCCCTGTCAGGCCAACCCGAGTCCCCAGCGGGGATGGCGTGCGCGGCGGCATTCGAGGGCGGGCGCTGCGCGCAGGTCACCGCCGCAGGGTGTCGGCCCCGGGATGGCGCCCGGGGGCCCGGGGTGTTTTTTATTTCCCCAGCCCAGCGGCTGTGGTTGTCTCTTCTTCGGGCGACGAAGTCCATACACACACACATATATATATATATATATATAGATTTACACAAACATCTCTATACATATGTAGCCATACATGTATATGTATGTATATATATATATATAGGTGTATGTATATATACTCCTGGCCAGGCCCATCCAGAACCCCGCAGCTGTATATACGCCCTCCTGGCCGAGCCAGTCTAGGGGTACACACCTCTGCTGGGTTCAGGATGGGCCCGGCCAGGGAGCATTGGATGGGTATAGATTTCGTCCCCCCGTCTTCTTCGCTCAGGACACATTGCTCGGGCGGTTCCAGTGCAACTCTGGAACGCTCTCTCTTGGAGGCCAGATGCTGACCTGACCGTCTCTTCGGCATCACCTCAGCCATGCTTATGCTGTGTGTCGGTCGCCCCCCCCGGGGGCGACAGCGCGCGCCCAGGACTGACAGCACAGGTGCTCGGCGGCGGGCGCTCTCTGGCCATACCGCTTGGGCCACGGTCTGCCGCGAGATGCTTGCTCTGCATCGGGCACGAGGGTTGAGAACAAGCATCGTTCTGGAGGGGTGCCCTCCATGTTCTTCGCCGTTGGGCTCGGCGAAGGGGCCCGTGCTCTTGATCCACAGTCTTGTGACCCTGCTTCGGTTGTGTGTGCGTGCTCTCTGCATGTTCAGTTTGGACGTGCGCTTCCAAGTGGGGCGCGCAGTTTTCTGCCCCCCCTGCGAGGGACGGCCTCGACGAGGCCGCGCTGGTGGGGCCCGCGGGGGCCCTGAGGGTCGCCACCCTCGCCGCCTGCGCGTCCGCGCTGATGGTGGCAGCCGTCGCGGCGGCCAGGATCGGGCGACGAGCCCAGATTTCCGACGGTTTGGTTCCCCGTACGGTGCTTGCGCGCAGGGGTTCCCGCCTGCGCTGCTCAGAACTGGATGGGGCGTGTTTCTTTTATTGCTTGGGGCATGATGGGCATCACAGCCCAAGGACCCCCCCCCCTCCTCCCCTATAACGTAGGGCGCTCCGGGTACTGCCGCCATGCGCACGGCGGGGGGGAGAGGCGTTACATGACACACCCTCTCCCCTGGCCCCTCCCCCACCCTCTATGATGCCCATGATCTCCGACACGCGCTCATGGGTGCCCCGAGTATTCGCCACGCTCGGGCCTGCTGCCACCCCGCTGCCGCTGTCGGGGATGTCCTGGGTATATCTGCCAATGCCTGGCCCGTTGCCGCCGCGCTGCCGCCCGTGAGGATCGGGGGAGGGACAGACCTCCTACCCTGACGCGTCGATTGAGGAATTGGCCGTTTTCGGTTTGCGACAGGGCGTCGCGGCCGTCATTTTTGCTGGTCCAGGTCCGTCGGTTTCGGTCCCAGGCCCTTTTCACTAAGGGGAGGTCTACTAAAGGGAGGTTTGTCCACCGCCGAGAGGACTCGCCATGTCCTGGCCCGTTGCCGGCCGTTGCCGCCTTGGGGGTGTGTCGGGGGCCCCCCAAACGGGGTGGTGGCCACACCGTGTCGTGAGTCGGTGGGGTGTCGGGGTCACCGCACGGTTTTGGGACTCGAGTCCCTCTCCGAGGATGTCTCGGGCGACAGGAGCCTCCAGGGTCCCAAGACCGTGCGGTGACGGACTGTGCGGTGAGGTCTCTTGGGGTTCCGAGGTCACCGCACGGTCTGTCACCACACGGTTTTGGGATCCCCGAGTGCCCCGCGGGTGCAGGTTTGCTCTTCGGAAAGCAACTGCAGAGACACTTGTGCACCACATAATTGTACAGCGCCACATCTTACTGTTTGGGGTCGACGCTGGCAAACACTTGTTCCACTTGCGTGTTTGCTTCGATGTTGGTTTCCAGGGCCAGCGATCGGGCCCCAGGGCCAGCACCAACGGCTCCAGGACGAAAACTGCCCTCAAGAACGGGGGTCGGGACATCTAAGTCCTCGCAGTGGACGCATCCTATCGGCGGATGTTTGGGAGCTCAGGAATGCCGAGTGAGGAATGAATCCAGGCCCCCTCTCGTCGTGGCAAAATCGCGACTGGAGGTTTTCGGCCGTTTTCGGCAGCATGGTGCCGTCGCCGTGCGCAGGGGCCGTCAAGACAACGACTGGGGCTGCAGAACTCGAATCACCCGCTTTGTCGAACATCCCGGGAGGTCGAGACGAAGAGCAGGGGAAGGACCTGGGGGTCGGCATGATGCCATGTCCGAGCCCGAGCTGGTCCTTCCTTCAGCGTCTTGATCGTACCCTTCGGCCGTGGAGCACGCGTGCTTGGATCCCCAGATTCCAGTCCACGGTGTAGGCGCCGTCCTGCTTCAGTCATCATGTGGTTTCCTGCCAGGCGGAACCCCGATCATAGGGGGGCATGAACATTCCTAAACTTTTGGCGCTCCGCGCGGATTTCTTGCATCCGCGCTGGGGCTCCCCCGGCGGCGCCTCCGGCTCCGTCCCTGGCGCGCTCCGCGCGCCAGAGAAGAGGGGCCCAGCGCGGATCCGAGAAATTTGCGCGGAGCGCCACAAGTTTCTGTTTATGCCGTGTTTTCCTTTCCTAGGCAGGCGGAATCTCGATCTGCCTCCGACGCCTTCCCATGCCGTGCCTCTGCCCACCCCTTCCGACCGGTGGGTGCACGAGCGCCGCCTCATTGTCAGGCCCGCGCGCCCTCGCGCCCCCGCCCTCGCCCCCACCCTGAAGTCGGGCCTGCCCCCCTACATGAGGAATGAGCAAACATAGTTGAAAACATAGTATGGGGACGATTCTTGGTCCATTCGTGCCCCTTTGGAGGGCATTTTCGGCGTATGTTTTTTTTTCTCTCGCCCCGAAGAAATCCCACTGCAGCCTCTGCCCGCCCCTCCCGACCGGTGGGTCCTTGAGGAACTTCGTCCACGACGCCTATCTGGACACGATATGAGGCCACGGCCTCTTGCGCCCTGCCCAAAGGGGGTACGGGCACACCTGTGTGCCGACTCTGGGGCCCTCGCCTCGCCTCGCCTCCCGACTGGTGGCTGCGCGAGCGCCGCCTCCTGGCCGGGCTCGCACGCCATTGCGCCCGCACGCCCTCGCGCCGCGGCGTCCAAGGGCCCGCGTCTGCTCCCGCGCCCCCGCCCTCGCCCCCTCCTCCCCCTCCTCCCCCTCCCCCTCCTCCTCCTCCTCCTCCTCCTCCTCCTCCTCCTCCTCCTCCTCCTCCTCCCCCGTAGCCATTTTGGCTCAAGATGCCAGGTTCCACAGGGGAACAAGTGGATACCGCTAGTCCGCGGCTGGCAAGACCCATTGTGGTCTGGCAGAGTTTCTCTCTCATCCTGTCGCTCGCCTCCACGGGTAAACGGAGGTGTTTCCCGTTCCTGTGCTGTCGAGCGCCGCAGTCGCCATGGGGCTCCCCGACGCTGCTTCGCTCGCCAAAGTTGCCCAGGAGCTCGATGACATGCCCACCTTCCCTGTGGATGACCATGACGATGACCACCATGATCGGGGCTCACCTGAGCACAAGTACCCGCGCGCAGAGGACGGCAAAGGCGGCAACTCCAGTGGCAAGGGAGTTGCTGGCATGGCTGCCCGCGCAGCGGGCGCTGTTGGCTCTGCTCTGTTCGGCGGTCGTTGCGATTCTCAGTGTACTCCTGGCTCGTCACCTGCAGGCGCCCATCGTGACCCTGCCCAGCCTCCAGTGCAGCAGCCCCAATATGATGATGACTATATCAGGCATGTCGCAGCAAACGCAGTTGCTGAACAATTCGGAGAACTACGATCGGAGCTGGAATCTTTGGTTGGATCTACCGTTGGCGCAACTGTGCAATCGTCAAACAAATCTATTCTCGACACACTTGAGTCTCTGCGAGTACAGATCTCGGCCCAGCCGAAAGAAATCGACCAGCAGATCATGGCCACTGTTCGCCCGCACGTCGATGCCATTCACCGCGGCCTCCAGTCCAAGATTGACTCCCTCGGCTCTCATGTCAACACGCTCTCGATCGATGTCGAGAAGCACACTGCAGACATCGCCGACCTGCGTAAGCAGATGGAGGAGCTCCGCGGCGAGCTCATGGTCGCCAAGCGCACCGAGAAGGCTCCCACGGCACCACCCTCCTTCGATCGCGTGGAGGACCCCTCAGTCGTCGTCGCCATGGCTACGAAGATGGTTGGGATCGATGCTGTGCGTGCTTCACTCTCTCCCTTCTTGGGGGAGCTGGGATTGGACGCATCATCATGCACTATCAAGTCTGCTGGTCCGACTCCAAGCAGAAGGTACCTCATCTCTTTCAACGGCAGCGTGGGACTCGCGTCCAAATGTGTCAACAAAGTCCTGTCCAACCTCAGGCAAAACGATGAATGGCGTATCTTCCAGGCAGATGTGTCAGGCTCAACTCCCGCTCGCCTACATCTTGGACCAGACAAAAACCCAAAGCAAGTTAAAACGGAAATGGCGCTCAGGAAACTACGCGCTGCCCTCGCTGGCAAATAAGAAGGGCGTTGGGCCGTGGACAGAGAACGCGGTGTCCTTCGCTGTGGGTGGACGCATATACTCAAGCTCTCCGCCCAACCTGACGACCAGCCATTCGACATCCTCTACAACGACGAGGGCCTCAGTGAGGTTGGCATTGCCAAGCACGAGGTCCGCGAGCTGGTCCAGTCCACCATTGCACCGCCACCGCCACCGCAGTGGTGTCTTTAACGAGCTGATGCAGATGTTCAATCTCCCTCAAGCCAAAGATGGAAGCACCGCTTTGAGATGTGCTACATGGAATGCGAGGGCGCTCCTGCAGTACCAAGGGGCGAAAGCTACTACCAAGTTACGATATCTTCATCAGGTTCACCTGCAATCCACGTTGCTGGCGATGCAGGAAGTTCACGCTGACCGTGTCCAATTGGAACAGTTCGTGCTCCAAGCTCATGCCCATGCAGTAGTCCACGCCTCATTTTGTGCAGTCGATCAAGGGGGATCGGGTGCTGGAGGTGTTGCTACTGTTCTTCCCCGACTCGCTCTTGACGGAGCCTCGTCTAGCTGTGCCACGCCGCTCATTCCAGGAAGGGTCCTGCAAGTTGATGTGCATAGACGTGGACATCAGTTGACACATTTTAATATACACAACCACGGCCTCTCCAGTCACCAGGTGGACATGGTCTGTGAGCAGATCGACAGGTATCGGGTCGCGGCGGCGTCTGACCCTACCCACCGCCTGGTCATTGTGCAAGGTGACCTGAATTTTGGCCCTGACGAAGCTCTGGTGCTACATCGCCCACTTCCCGCGCATGCATCCGATCCGCGGAATCATCGTGCCCAAGCTGCCCGTTGGCTTCGCTCTCTGGGGGCGCTTCTTGAAGTATCATCGTCTGCGGCTACTCACTATACGAAGCACACCAACTCTGTCAGCTGCATAGATCGGTTCTTTTGTTCTTTACCTGGATGGATGCTATGCCAAGTTCATGCTGAATCCACCGCAGTTGGCGAGCCAGAAGCGTTGTCTCGGGCTCAAATCTCTGACCATGCCGCGCTGGTGACTACGTTGCGCCAGCGCCACCATCGACCACGGGGAGAACAAGCTATACCACGGCACCTCTTCCATGACCCGCTCTTCAAGAGACGTATCGAGGGGGTGGTGGCTGATGGCCAGAACGCCATTGATGCACACGCTGGCTCTATTTATCAGGAGCATTTCAAAGAGATGCTCAAGGAGGCTGCACGGGAGGTCCGAGACATGCTCTTCACGCTGAAGGCGGAGAGTGACGAGACGGCGATCATCGTGGCCCGCAGCTGCGCTCGAGCTATCTGGCGGCAGGACGTCCCACTGGCTCGGCGGCTTATTTCCACTTCGCAGTGGGCATCAGACGCACTGCTAATTGAAGGCCCACAAGTTCGCCTT